TTCTAATTTAATGAAATCATAATCAAACCTTGATGTGTTATCTCCATATATGGTTATAAGCTACCAACCAGGCAACCATTGAAATTTGAGAACACTAATCGATTAGGCTTTGAAGTTTGAATTTATATTATAATTTAATATCTTAAATGCCGTCCGCCATCCATTTGAGAATTAATCCAGAAGTTCTCATCACAAAAATCTGTCTAAAATTTGTCAATTGAAGGAAGGAAAAGATGATAGACTTGAAACGACTCTTGGTCGCTTCCAAAAGTCAACAACTATATATACGGATTTTCTTTTGATTCTCGATCAATGCAATAAATAGAAATAAGAGAAGAAGATGATAATGATGAGCTCGATCGTTGCTTCAGCGGTCCCATACAAGGTTGAAGCGTCAGGCATGATAATTAGTTAACAAGTAATAATTACACACAAGATTTAACGCATTGCTTATATACATCAATACTTTCTACTCTGTGGTATCAAATGTTAAAGGAAAAATATTTAATTGATGCAAGCCAAGTGTATTCCTTAATTTAAATACTCACGCACATTTCTCTTACATATAGTGAAGAAGAGGACCAAATGACAGAGTTTTATTACACGTGTTGTTCATTGTACAATGCTTTTGAGCTGGGAAATGGATGCATTATAGTACACTAAAAATATGGTTCAAGTTGACGAAAAGCTCTTGCTTTTACTGATTCGAGTGGCTGTACAAAACTGAGGAGAATCACATGATCATCCCATGCGAGCTTAAGGCCTGCTAGGCTGTTGATCTCCTTCGGGTGACTCCTGAGCTTAGCGTTTATTATATTCTCTAATACTGAAACATAATTATTTTACGAGGCAGATGTGCCAAACTAAGGAGAATCACGTGATGTCCTATATGGTGATTGATGGGTGCAACATTAATGTCTGCGATATTCCCTTGTTGATTTTCTTCGTGTCAAGAGGGCCAGCCATTTTCCGAATCACTTGCTCTGATTTTAGCCTTAATTAATTATATTCTCCAACACTGAAATATAATTATTTAATAAGATGCTTAGAATCAGAAAGGTACGAATTAAGCATCTGATGAAAGTAGTACATATGAAACATGGCTACTTCAAAAAAGGGTTCTTTTTGGGCTAACACATGCTTCGGTATGACGTTGGTGAATGTAATTTTTGTATTTATAGTTGTGTGTAGACCCAGGTAGTTACACATAAGCAGGAGTATTTTGCCCCCAAGTAAGCGTCAGAATTGATTGAATGCCAATGTATCTTCTTTAGATCCTAGGATGCTTTTACTTCTCAGGTCTTGTCCCTCCTTTTCTGCTTTACTGCAGTTTCCTTCATGTATATTTGTTTTGATTTAATGCCTTTTATTGATTTCTCATAACAAAAAAGATTGAAGATTAATTTATTTCGAATTAGTAACACAATGAGTGGAAGTGGAACTGTCATTAAATAAACGTCTTTTAAGAATTGTATCATTATTGGTTTTTGGAGCTCAAATCATGGTTATCACCGCGGCTAGCCAATATTAGGTTTGGCATTTTCAACAAGACATGCGAGGTTTAAACTATGTGCTTACTGGCTTTTTCGCCAACCCTCTTTTGGTGTTCAGCTAGCTAGCTAACTAGAGTATGGGACAGCATTATTATGATGACGACTTTAAATCTTTCCACCTATGCAGGCATAATTAATTAACTAATTCAATTCAATAACTGATTGGAGTGTGTTGATTAAAAAGGAGGCTATCTCTTTCCATGAGATCTGCAGATAATTTTTAATTGGGTCACAAAACTTCAATTATATAAGGAAACCAAGATCAAATGATGGCTGCTTATGCTTATAGGTTTGCTTTAGCTGAATAGCTAGCATCTGCCTATACACATATCATGTATGTCATTTGTTGGACAAACTCATCAAGCTAAGTACCCTATATGAAACCTCATAGACGACACACACACACACATATATAGGGGCATTTTGCTTTTAAAAACGTAGGCTTTAATAAATAATAACCATTTGTTTTATTCAAAACCATATGTTTATTATATATGTGTGCGCGCGCGCCCCTCTCCGACACTGCTTCATTATTGTGTCTATGCTTCCCAACATGCCTCGCGTATACATAATAATGAGGGTGCCATGATACAACTATTCACCTTAGTGACATTCTCAAAAAATTGTCAGTGTGCCTCTAATTATTGGGAGGGGAAACACTAGGCCTAGGAGATTAATTAAGGATTAAGGCCACCCTTTGATGAATGTTTGTGCGAAGAACTGGGTTACAGCTTCTTTCTTTGCTTTGATGATAAGTGGGAACCTTACATACATGTCATATTCTTTTCATGCCTTAGTATCCATGATGTATTATTGCAATAAATTTGTTGGTCATATTTGTGAATATTTTCTTGTTCTCAAACCGTGCCACCTTACTCTTATTATACTATTGATTAATGAGATAAAATTATATCTATTGTCGTCTGAGTAAATAATGCCTTACTTCTTCTGAAGAAATTAGACAAGCTCGTGTGTATGTGGAGTTAATAACAGAGGCTAGTTTATTGAATTTTTCATGTACAGAATTGAAGTTGAGGTTTGAAGAAAGGTTTTGGCCGGTCTTTGGACGCATGAGCTGGGGTGTTCTGCACTGCAATGTTTCCCCCCGGACACACACACCGGTTATTAAATTGTAAATAATGAAGTGCAATTGCTGTTGTACGAAAGATGCTAATTATATAAATCGGACCAACGGCAACTTGGGCAAATGCTAATGCCATACAACTTATTATCAATGAGGCGCTTTTCATTGGAGTGTGTTGATCATTCAAAAGAAGATTTTGGTCGGTTCCCTTTAACGATTAAAGATAGCACGCTATCGATTTCTTCGAGATGAAAGCTTTTTCATTAAAAGGGTTAATTAATTAGGAGTAGTTTTGTGATTCATTATTTGTCGACAATAAAACAGACGAGCCTATGATGGTTAGGGATAGCATATGGAAGAATGAGCGTTCCTCGTTTCAAATACTCTTCCGGTCCTAAATGTAAAACCCTACACACTAGTATAAGGGTCTTACATTTAAGACTAGAAGAGTAATATATAATCTCTCCTCTCTCCTTGTCCTTCTGGAGGGAAAACATATAATAAAAGAGAAGAGGTTAGTCGTGTATGATGTCAGTGATGTCGTCACACAACATTCGAAAGGTACAAGGAATCTGAATGGGGACCATTATATCGCGGATTTGCCCAACAAAAGATTCGTCAGTTAGAAGTGTTGATTGGATTGAAGAAGGTGAGGCGTGAATAGGGTTTGCCCGCAGATCACAGAGCAACACCTGTCCAAAAGCAATAAGGCAGCAACCCAGTGTGCTTCTTCATCCGTCATCATTAACTCATCTTCTTCCTTACTCCTTATATATTATTAATCATTCCCATCTTGGTTCTCTGCTGCATGCAGTTCCACTCTTATTGAACATTCTCAAACTGCATATTAAAGCTCACTCGTTTATATATATGTTCTTGAAGACGCCTCTTCATCAATCAAATTAATTGCTTAAAAACTTGTGGCTCCCCAGCCACTGTGCTTGTAATGTCAGAAAAGCTAAACTCTCCATCAAAATGATCTTCTTCACTCAGTCACACGCTATTTCTTAAAATCTACAGAGTTTATCAAACCATTGTTACTCAACCTTAATTATATTATTGTTAGTTACTCTAACGGCGAACAACCGTGAGCGGTTTTCTGCACAAGTCTCCTTTACGTACGCACTGAAAATTGACACGCATCTTTCCAGTTTATCTCTTGCTAGATGATCGCAATATGTAAATGGAGGGGACTGAGATTTTATATATAGAATGCAAGAGCATCATTACGTTCTTGAGAAGCTACTAAACTCGATCAGGAAAGAGGAGTAAAATCGTTGCAATTTCTATATATTGATCTGAAACATATCGATTCAAGCTTTTATGCTAATAATGGTGAAAAAAATGGATTTGAAGAGAACTGCAAAATAGTAATGAGCATCTCTTGATTTTGAGGGCACGGCACGTTGAGGCTTGGCGGCCAAGAATGAAGAGATTTGGTTTCCTTAATTATGATTCTCACCATCAAGAGGTTAAGGCATTGATCTTGCGTTAAAAATGATGGATCCATACGCAATCTATCCCTTATGAGGAGCCTCATATTAGGGAACCAAATTGTATATGTGAAATGTGATATTGAGCAATTGCAGATTCAACTGAAAACACGTTAATCAATGTCCATATTTATTCTTGCAATGTAATAAAAATATATAATTTGTGCCTCTTGAATGCACCTGAGCTTGAGATAGATATGCTTACTTCGTTAATTCTATGAATCATCCTGGCAAACCCAAAAAAGAAAAAAAAAGCTTGTAAAGAGGTGGCCAGATACTAATGCAGACTCCATGAGGGCCCAAATATCACTTCAACCTGTTGAGGCCCCCAACAACAAGTCGGTCCACGCAATCAATCAATGTCTCTCTCCCTTCACCGGATCATTTGCCAAGCCCAAGCAAACAACTCGTCCAACAACGAAACAAATATTAGAAAATAAACCATGGCCTAGTAGAGGAAGATAATTCTTTACAATGGAATCAATTAAAATTCAAATTTTTATTAGGACAGTTGCCCGTATTTAGCACCGTCAATGCCATGTGCCTAATTAAAAATAAAATATTAGAAAACAAGTCAAATGTATGAAAGTTAAAGTTTTTACATCTTTTTTCCTTTTCACTTGGCTACTAAAGATTCTTATTAAAGAGTAAATGTGCACGTAAGATTTATCCATCAAAGTTTAGACAATTTAATGTTTTTCTCCAATTTTTTTGACCAGCTAATTTTTTTCTCCAATTAATTAATTGTTGTTAAAAAAGAAATAAAGGCACAGCTTTTAAGCCATGACGCAAGGTGGCAAGGTACCGTGTTATTTGCATTAAATCAAAGGAAAATGAGAATGAAGCACTGAGCGGGGTGAAGGGAGCATGGAACGAGGAATCAAAGGAGGAAGATGGCGACCGTGGAGCGTGGAAAAAAGGAGGAATGATGAAGGCAGCGATCATGTTGAAAAAGGAGCTTCATCGTCTTAATTACTCATACCGGGCAGCCATGAAAGCTAATCACACCACCCACCGACTCCCCCGGGTCCCGCCTCTGCTAAAAGCTTCTCCTCAAAGCTTCTTTCCTACTTCGATCCTCCCATCACCCCATTTCCCGATCTCCTCTCACTCCCTCCTCTCCTCACCAAATCATGCCCATTGCCAGCTCCAACCACCACCTACCGCCGCCTTCTCCCATCCCCAGGGCCAGAGGCTCTCGCTCCGCCGCCAATGACCGCCTCAGCGGCTACCTCGACAAGACGCCCCATTGTCCGGAGCTGACCCTCCCGGCGTCTCACTTCCCGGCAATCTCGCACATGCTGGTGCCGGCGGAGATAGAGTACCGATCGCTGTCAGCCAGGATGGATGCGGTGGTGAGATCGGCCAAGGAGTTCGGTGCATTCAGGATAAGAGGTCACGGGATAACGGTGCGGGAATTGGGGAAAATGGAGGAAGAAGCCCAAGACGCGGCTGCTTGGAATGCCGGGGATGTCATCCCCTGCGTTCGTTGTCGCAAGGGTACATTGCAGTTCATCGCTTCCAAGTCTTTCGGCCTTCATTCCTATCCCAACTTTTGGTAACCTCCACAATTATTTTCCCACCTATAAGCTTCACTTTATTTACATTACAGTCTGTGTAATTATCTATCTTATCAACAATTTTTCCCAAGCTAAATTTGGATTTTTTTCTTCCTTTAAATGACTTTAGTTTTAAGAAAATTAAACAAGATTTGTAGAGTGTGAACATTTTTCCTTTGGTAGAATTTGAAATTTGAATCGTTACTTCATTCTTCTATAATCTTCAGCAAACAATTGAAACTTCTCCTGTAATCTTCTATAATATTCAATTTTAACTATCAATGTGTCATTGTGTGAAGCTAGCGGCAAGGTTCATAACTGTAAACAATAAAGTTCATCGTTTTTTTGTTTTGCGCATATTAATGCACGCACGGACCACTCTAGCTGACGATACAAAATAGCAGTTCCTAGCACGTCATTGTGTGGGCTGAGCGTAAAACCTTTGGACTTGGATGGTCAGTGAGACACAGGCCGGAGCTGAATTAAACTCTGGATCCCTAGCCCACAGACACCACGTACCAAATTGTAGGCTCAATACACACACACATATATATTCAAATTTCTTAGCTTCCACAGTCTTTGCATAGTTGGATTATTGAACAACAAATGGGCACATGCTTCAGGCTTCAGCTGTGTGGTGGCTTTTGTACCTTTAGGATTTACAGAGTATTGTGACCTCATAACGTAGTAGAAAGTAATACTACCTCCGGTCCTTAATATAAGACCCCGTTTGACTTTTTGTTTGGTCCTAATTATAAGACCCCAATCCATTTTGTCTATCATATTTATGCATTTTTTCCAAGATAGTCCTTCTAATAATGATAGTTCTAGCCAATATACTTAATTAGTAAGGATATTTTAGGAATGACAACACTTATTTATTACAAATAATTAACTTAACTTACTTCCTTAATCTCTTCAAATTAGTCAACTGGGTCTTATAATTAGGACCGGAGGTAGTACCAGTTAAGAATCTAACTAACAATCTAAAACTGTGTAATATGTGGGCTAGAAAGTGTCTCAGATGAAATTATTTGAGCCCCCCACTCCACTCTGAGAAGCTGTCTGACATCAATCCAACTGACATGATTAATGAAGAGAAGATTCTTAAACTATGACGTTACATATGTGTATATGTAGTAGCTAACGTGTAGTTCCTTGTGCATGATATATAAACGGAGGATTTCTATGGGGAGAGTGGCAAGTAGACTGGATAGCATAGTGGAGCAAGTGAGTGGGGCTCTAAAAGAGTTGGAGCAGCGGATTCAAGACACAGAGTCGGTGATTAGCTTGTGCAGGCATCCCCATGGCGACGTGGATGAAACAGACGAGAGATGGTGCGATTATGCTCTTCGTTTCTACCTTCCCTTGCAGCAATGTATATTCTATATTCAATCCGGACGAGGTCCCTTATCATTTGATGCCGGTCCTGACACTATCGTCGTCACCGTTGGCAAACAACTCCAGGTTACTTCCATTTCCTTTATATATATTTCAACTCCCCCAAATGAATAAGCTAAGCCCGCATTAATACTGAATAAACCTTGATCGAAGAACCAAAGGCTATGTATACAATTAACCAAAGATGTTGCGTTGTGGATTTGCAGGAGTGGAGCCACGGGGGATTTAAGAGTGTTGCAGCTGAAATGATATTCATGTCAGGTTTCCAGAGTAAGCAGGCCTCTCTATCCGTAGAGCTTAAGTTGTTCCGCAGCTTGAAGACTTCTCACAAGATACTCTCCTTATCTGATCAGATCCTAATTCTACTAGCCCTTACATTTTTATGCAATTTCTTGTCACTTCTCTTTTCTTATTGATTCCCCATATTTGACAAGTGGTTGCATCTTAGGGTTTGTCTGGTCATGGTTAAGCCCCTCAGTCCGACACCAGTTTTGCTCCTTCCGATTCATTTTCTAAAAGCCATTGTGATGTACAGTTGAAGTGTGAATTGTAAAGGTTGCGGGATTTGATTAAATTACAAGCTATAACTTGATTTCTGATCGAGTGGGAAACAAGCAGAGTCATTTGTTTTATGCACAAGTCTGGTTTAATGTGAGAATGATCACGTATTTATTGACACACCGTCACCATGATATATTGAGTATTATTAATATAATGATTGAATGATTAATTTTATTGTTGCCCCGCACGCTCTAAGGGATTTTCTTTCTTTGAGATAAGATCAATATTTTGATGCTATTCTAAGTGTGTTAATGCTATGTCGTCAGACAAATCTATACATTAACTAGTGCTAATTATATAATTTTCTTAGTTCTTAATTTGATTTTTGATTTTCTATATCCATATAAAAATGATGATCATTAATGCTCTGTCCCTGTAATGACTGAAGGTGTAGAGGAGAAAAGGGTAGATTTCTTTTTTCTTTTTTTTTTGTGGGTTTGTTTGTTGCAGGGCCTCATGCCTCTTTCTCTTCATTTTTTTTGGCTAAAGTATGAATAGTCTCTTATTTAGGACAATCCTATTTGACATACTGCCAAGCATTAAATGTAGGTATCTTTTCTAATGGAGGTTCTTTCTCTTTGATTTGATCTATCCTTCAAATAACAAGCTATTTTCACTACTATGCTAGTTACTTGGAGCCTATTTTAATCTCTGCATTTTGAACGTTGACAAACATTATTAGGGATTCAGATTTTTCCGTGTTACCACAAGTGCGCAAGAAACAAGTAATAGACGTGATCATCATCTTTAATGACGCTTATGGATTCATAGACTATCAAGTTGCAGCGGAACAGGGGAATGACAGGTGTACCGTATTTGAGATGATAATACAAACATGATTAAAAATCACTCCATTCATTCATTCATGGCGACGGCGTACCTAGTGAGCCCTTGCAATACGCATATATTGATTTATATGAAACAATTTTAGTACACAGGGATTAATGCACCTGGTCGAGGGAATCTTTAAATTAGACGCCCATATATATATGTGTGTGCTTATACAGCAGTTCCTTTGGATCCAAGGCAACACAAGTGGTTGGTAGGAAATCTTTTTGAGTTCTGAGATAGACAGAAATGATTATAGAAACTGCTTGCGTGATGCATTGATTTGAGTTTTTATTTCATAAAGCAACAGTACTTTGATACAAAAAGGAAAAACAGAACGAAGTGGGACGAGATGTCATAAAATTAAAGAAAAGAGCACAATAAAGCAACCTCACAAGAAAGCATCTTGTGGTGGATATAAAAGTCAGAGTACTCTCATGATTCTAAAATGACGGGGGATCTGTAGTTCGGATCCAGACTCTTCATCTTTTGAGGTCGTAATTTCTGCAAAAATAAAAATAATATTAGATGCAGACGTTTTCATCATTTTGTGTTCATGAAGTTCTTCTGAAAATTAAATCATAAAAATATAGATCTCGTATGTGTGATCACTCTTTTTTAACTCGGAATCGCAGAAGAAGTAAATACATACAGGGTTCCGTCAGGGCGCACACGCATATATAAAAACCGAGAGAAAGATTCCACAAGTGCATGATTAAACATTTAATTAATATGAATGATGGAATAATTTGCATTGATTCCGCACACCCCGTTGGAATTAACTAAGCACGCCTTGATTAATTAGTAGGGATGCCCATTAAAAAGAAAGAAGGCTGCATTAATTGGTCAGCGTTGATTAATTATGAATGAAGAGGAGGTGGCTTGCATGGAAGGGCCAATAATGGAGGGTGGGAATAATAATATAAGAACAGAGGTTCAATAATTTGATTATTGAAATAAATATTGAAATGGAATGAAGGCAATGATTAAAGCGTAAAATATAAGAAGAGATGCATGTGATGTGATGGCAGGAGTGAAGTCAGAGAGTGACAACAGAGAGAGTGTATGTGGAGGACAAGCCTTCACAAATTTGTAGCTGCGTGGCCTTTTTATCTTATGTTGAAACACGCAAGTGATTTGGTCTGCCCACTCACTAAAACAAGATTAGACCAGTGATCATATATGTTTGAGTTTAAATGGTGATGGAGTGTGAGGAAATGGTCAAAAGTAAAATATGAGGGCCACAAACAGCAAAAGTAAATAACAGAGGCAGCTTTTACCACCAAAAAAACAAAAAAAATAACAGAGGCAGCACGTGTGTGCTCGATTGATGATGACTTGGCACCACATGGAGTGCCCTCTCTCTCTCTCTCTCTCTCTCTCTCTCTCTCTCTCTCTCTCTCTCTCTCTCTCGTATATCCTTTCCTTCCCTTCCCAGATAAGAGCAACACGCTATGCATCAGCCATCCATTATTCCCAGCAGGGACCACTCCTTTTCCAATCTCTACCGCCATTTTCATCTTCTTATCACCTAGTTTTTTTTTTAAATTGTTTTCTCTACTCATTACAAAATGTCGTAATTTGTAATTTGTTATTTTCTGGAATCTTGGCTTTGGACACTTTTTTTTATGAGACAAGCGGTGCGGTGGCATATGGCTCTTCAATTTAAAAGAAGAGTTATATGTGTGTGTGTAAGTTGGATCCAAACCGTGATATCAGCTTTGTCATATCTGAGGTCAAACAGACAGAGGGGATCAGCTTTATCTTATCTTTTATACGACGCCTGATGGATCCCCCCAGTTAACTCCAAACTGCAAAGCTCGGCGATTACGTTTATGGGGGACTGGGATTCAGCAATACTAGCACGCATAATGGACCACCACAATTGACAACCCCATATAAATTATTTCTTGCCTACCTTAGATTGGACATTAACACGCCAGAGTCCACCCTTTCCATCCCCCAGATTGAGAAAAAATTAAGTGGAGTGATAAGGTGGGGGAAGAATTGTACGGAGATGCTTATCCAGTTAATGGTTGATCATTAACTGACGGCTGTCCCCGTACGGTTCTTTATCCGCTTTCATCCCATGCACGATACGTAAATCAATCTACGCTTCTTCACAACGTTGTTTGTCTCTCCCTTCCTTATCTTCTCATCACATATCATCATGTCATCATTCTTTACCCCAAGCCTACCCAGTATTTATATTTGTATTGTTCCTTAATTAACTTTCTCCTCAAGGATTCATATTCTACTTTTACCTCATTCATTCTCCTTAGACATGTCAAATCTCGCTCAGCATCTTCACTATTGCCATCATTGGCAGCCAACTTTTTTGTCATTGTTAATTATTAATTTTGGTGGCGATGCCATCACCCTCCTCTTTTTAAATTTATATATCACTCAAAATAACCATTTAACTTTAAGTCATACCTTCTCTCCTCTTCTTCCGCCTCCACGGGTTCATTGAATGAAGCCTCAAAATTGGAACACCTGTTCCTTTTCTAATGGCCAGCCGAAACAGTCGAGTTTAAGAATTAGAAGGCCGTCAAAACTCAAATACAAGTAAATCACCAACACTAAGAAAGGTACAATAAATAAATATGTAAAATCACTCTCTTCCATCCTCCCCTTAATCATACTCGTAAAAGATGTAAACTTTTCCCTTTTAATTTATTGGGGTCCTCATATCCAAAATTTTCGTTTAAATATCCCACCACCCGCTCATGAATTCTGTACTGTGTCTGTATGGCATTCTTCCTACCACCCCACTCACATCTTTCATTTGCCAGCCTAGGAAGATTTTACTTTTGCACCCACCCCTCCCAACCTCACCTCACTTCTCTCACCTTGTCGTTCAAAGCGCCGTCAGCATGCGGGAGGCATACGACGTCACCATAGAAGAAGACGCAGCGTCGTCCGCGACGGTCGGAGAGGCATCCTCCGGGGTCGTTTTGCTGGGAAAGTACCTGTTAAAAAAGTTGTTGGGTGTGGGAGCCTTTGCCAAGGTGTATCACGCCACGAATGTGAGCACGGGACAGAGCGTGGCTATCAAAGCCGTGAGCAAGCGGGAAGTTTTCCGGGGAGGTCTCATGGAGCACGTTGAGAGGGAAATCTCTATCATGCGCCGCCTGCACCATCCCCACACCCTCAAGCTCTTTGAAGTCCTCGCTTCCAAGTCTAAAATTTACTTCGTCCTCGAGTTCGCCGAGGGCGGCGAGCTCTTTGACAAGGTCGCTCAGGGGCGATTCTCCGAAGATCTCAGCCGTCGCTATTTTCATCAGTTAATTTCCGCCGTCCGATACTGCCACTCAGCCGGCGTCTTCCACCGCGACCTCAAGCTTGATAACCTCTTGATCGACGAAAATATGGACCTCAAGGTTTCGGACTTCGGATTGAGTGCTCTGAAGGACCACGTCAGACCGGACGGTTTGCTGCACACCGTTTGCGGCACGCCGGCTTACGTGGCGCCGGAGATGCTCGCCAAGAAAGGCTACGACGGAGCGAAGGTCGACGTGTGGTCGTGCGGAGTCATCCTGTTCGTCCTCGCCGCCGGGTACCTCCCCTTCAACGACCACAATCTGGCAGCCATGTACAGGAAAATCTACAGAGGGCAATTTAGGTTCCCGAGATGGACGTCGCCGGAGCTCCGGCGTTTCCTGTCTCGGTTGCTGGACAAGAATCCCGAGACGAGAATCACGGTGGACGAGATCATCCGAGACCCATGGTTCAGCAAAGGGTACCGGGAGGTGCGGGTCCAGCACAAGGAATTCGAATCGGATCATGAGCAGAGCCGACACAGGGGACTGAACGCCTTCGATTTGATATCGTTTTCGTCCGGCCTGGATATGTCGGGCCTATTCACCGACTCAGGTTCGTTGGACTGCGTGGAACGCATCGTCTCGGGGGGAAAACCGGCGAACATAATGGAGAAGGTGGAGGGAGTGGCAAAAGCAGAGGGAGTGATGGTGAGCAAGGAGGAGAACGGGGAGGTAGCGAAGCTTGAGGGGCAAAATGGTAATATAATGATGAGGATCGGCATATACCGGCTAACGGATAAACTGGTAGTGGTGGAAGCGAAAAGAAGAGAAAGGAGAGCGGGAAATGGGAAAGGGACAAAATTTTGGGAGGATAAGCTGAAGCCGGAGCTCCAGAGACGGGATGTATAAAGCAGGAGACCAAAAATGAAGAAGAAATGGAGTTTAATTTGGCATATGGTTGATGGAATCCCCATGGAAGCCAGGGAATCACATTGTGTGATCTCTCTCAGTTAGAAGGCTGATTAGTGGGAGAGACAGATTGGTGGATATGTGGGCTCCCACAAGCAAAATAGGGACAAGGGCCGCCTGTCCCTGCTTCCCCAATCATCTCTGAAGCAAACAGCGGAATCTTTTGTTCATACTAGGTCATGATGCCCTGTTTCACTTAAATCCTTGTTTACCCTTGCATTCACTCTCATCTTAATTCACATTGTACAAACTAGAAATCAATTAGTTTATTGTAATTTACATTTTAATATGCTTTTAAAGAAAAACGAGTTCAACTAAAACTTATTTAAATGATGCATCCAAAAATCAGAGTCACAAAAATTAAATTTGAGAAGTTAATACTACTTCAATTTTAAAGTGATGGAAAAGGTTCTTTGACCCCGATACATTATTTTAAACTTAAAATTAGTTTTTTTTTTAAATTGAAAAAGTCAGCTTTTCATAACATCTTATTACAGATTTTATCATCAGCTCTTAAATTTTAAATTTTTGTTCAAATAATGTAATTTTATTCTATTTTCAAATATACATACACTCACTTCAATATGAAAGTTATACATATATATATATATATATCTTCTTATACACTGAATGTGTAGCATTTCAGTTCAATTTTTATTTTTATTTTTGGAAAACGGATGCTCTCAGTTTATGAAAAATGCTTCATTAATTGAGAGCATTTTCATATTAATTAGAATTAGATTGAAATAATAGCTCCTTATGCTTAGAAAATAGCCATAATTTATTTATTATGGATAAAAATATTCATTATTGGAAGTTAGAATGGATTAGCGGAAAGTAAGAGAGAAGGAGGGTGATCGAATGGATGGCAACAAGTGAGGTGACAGGGCGGGCGCGGGCATGTGAGAATAAGCATCTCATATCACGCACACCTAACGTCTGCTTATCAGTGCTCACCACTGACCAAAGGAATATTCCTCTGCCGTCTTCTTGATGCCCTCATTTCGCCACCCTCCTTATTCTATTTCAACTACCCCCCCCCCCCCAAATTTTTTTTCAATCCTACCATCTTATTCCCTCTTCTTTTCCTTCCTCGATTTGATAAAACCACATACTTATCCCTCAATTTGCAAGTCAAATGCAACCCACATCTCACAGATCTACACTTCCTGATTGGCTCTTTAAATGACAGTCTCAGGTGATTTTGGATATAAGCGAAATGAAATATATTACTATTTTATGATGCAATTCTTTGACAATGCTTAGTTAATCTCATGAACAATAATTTTCTAAAATTTATTTTTTTTACTATTATGAATAGGGCTTCTTGTGATTTTAAAAATTACTATAAGAACAACACTTTGAATTGCCGGGAACCAATATTGTTCCTTGTGAAGCAAAATTTCACGCAATGCAAACTGTTATGTTGTGACGGTCAAAATCTGAACTGTAAAGTGTAAACTGTTGGAAAACGAGTTGAAAACAAAAATCCGACCTGCCGGATTCGAACCAGCGACCTAAGGATATCTGTTTTCACTTTCAACTACAGTCCTCCGCTCTACCAACTGAGCTAAGGTCGGAGTTGTGATGTCGGCCTCAACAACCAATTTAGTGTTCTTTTCTATAGTAATGCACATTTTCCAGATCACATCATTCTCAGCTTCTGAACCACCACCCCCACGTAATCCCATTTTTGCTACCAAAAGTAACGTTGGAGGCAGCAATGCTTTTTAATTAATTCTATTTAGCCCCAGAATTTCAGCAGGCAGCCAAGTGAGGAGCAAACGCATTTGGATCCCTCTAATCGCAAAGAAAACATAACCATACATTTAAAAGGAGTGATATGAGAAAATTGTGGCAATTATATTTTTTTTCCTTTGACCTATAACGCTCCTTGTATTCATTCTATGAATGTAGTGTTGGTGCCGAGACAAATACAGCGCTCTCAGAATGATTAAATGCATATATTATCAGGTCTGATTCTTCAGCAAGTATCAGAAGCGATCGTATAAGAAGCACATGAAGTGGATACAAGCATTTTAATTTCTGACGCAGACACAGCTGCACTAGAAGTAAAGCGCAACTCTGCTATTGCTTGTAACTTTGCAGAGTGATGGTAGTATCTATTTCTTTCCAAGGAGGCTTCTTTCACTTCAATAATTAAAAGTCGGAAAGCAAGGCAGTTTCTTTCATGTCTTTGGCTTCCATATCAATTGTGGAAGCTTTGCAAGCACGTAATGCAGTGCATATATCCGTTCTTTCCAGGAACTTCTCCGCTTTGACAAGCATCACAGGTCCGTACGCGAAAACCAGCCTCTTGCACTGCAATAAATTTGGAACGCCATGTGGTGAAAAAAAAAAAATTGAAGTCAATTGATGAAACAGGTAAAACGTAGGGAAAATTGTGCACTCCGTTTGTTTTAGATACTACATCAGGGAACAGGGGGTATTCTTAAGCTCTGTCTGGACTAAAAGTTCAGTTCCCTCCTCAAACGATGTTAAGAGTAAACTCCATTACACTTGCATGTAATACTTTAATTGTATGAAAACTGGTGAGGAACTACGGTTCCGACCATGCAAATTTATTTAACTGGATAAAAATCTGAGTTTTTAAATAAATGCGAGACTAAAAAGAAAAAGGCGAAACTCGTCAGATTTTTCTCACCTTTTGTGCATACTTCTCTATGGAATTGCACGCCTTCAATAATGTCTCAATTACATCCAGCTGTCAGTTAAAACTGAATTTGTTAGTAGCGTACTCGACATAAGATAATGATATCCAGAAGAGGCCAAATTATGATCAGGATATCGGAGAACCATAATGATAGTTGAGGGTTTTCAAGAAAATGTAAAAAATTTTTTGCAGGACAGCAGGATAAGAATATATTTTAGAGTGCATAAAAGCCATGTAATATTTTACCAAACTATGATCAGGATATTGGAGAACCATAATGCTAGTTGAAGGTTTGCAAGAAAATGCAAAAAATTTTTTGCAGGACAGCAGGCTAAGAATATATTTTAGAGTGCCTAAAAGCCATGTAATATTTTACATGTATTGGAGTAAACAGAAGATCATAAGCTACTAGAAAACAAGGAAAATTCCACTACTCCAGCTGAGTCGTAGGAATTGAAATTTCTAACCTCGGTGTCAGGATCTTTCAACTTAACCAATACTTCTGAGACAGCATCTCTGCAAAATCCACAACTATCTTCTTGGACTTGAGATGAAATCTTTGCAATTCGCTGACATAGATTGGCCTTTTTACAAAGTTCTCCAGGTTGCAATGAAGCTAGTTTTGAGAAAAAGCGGGGAGCATAAAGGTCCACCAAATTTAAGCACTGCACAAGGCAGAAGAAACAGATGAGTAAATGTAAGGTCTGAGAAATTCCTATTCATTAATCCATTCGTCCCCTGGATTCCTCAAGTGCTGACAGTTGCACTCTGTTATACAACAAGGTTGCTCCAAAATGTAAATCAACACACTATATGGTTCAACATAAGTTGGGGCTATGTTATTCTGTATAAGAAAGGTTCCATATGCAAAATTATCATGCTTGCAGCCCATCCAACCATCCTGTGGCTGAACAGAATGTTGGTTGAACATCAAAAAAGCATAACCCGAGATTATTACTAGATTTGCAATAACTGAATAACTTCAGCATGAAACCATAAACACCACATATCCAAGAAAAGGTAACCAACCTCCTGCTCTAAAGGGCGCAGCTTATGACATGTATGGTAAAGGATATCAATGACCTCATCCTGGGTCTCTTTTTTAGTCAGGAAATCAAGAGCCTCGGAAGCATATTCCTCACAGGGGCAGCACGTGTGCGCGCGATTGATGATGACTTGGCACCACATGGAGTGCCCTCTCTCTCCCTCTCCCTCGCGCGTATATCCTTTCCTTCCCTTCCCAGATAAGAGCAACACGCTATGCATCAGCCATCCATTATTCCCAGCAGGGACCACTCCTTTTCCAATCTCAACCGCCATTTTCATCTTCTTATCACCTAGTTTTTTTTTTTAAAATTGTTTTCTCTACTCATTAAAAAATTTTGTAATTTGTAGTTTGTTATTTTCTGGAATCTTGGCTTTGGACACTTCTTTTTATGAGACAAGCGGTGCGGTGGCATGTGGCTCTTCATTTTAAAAGAAGAGTTATATGTGTGTGTGTGTGTGTGTGTGTGTGTAAAAGTTGGATCCAAACCGTGATAGCAGCTTTGTCATATCTGAGGTCAAACACACAGAGGGGATCAGCTTCTGAATTCTTTTTACTATCTATTCGATTCCCATGCATGTATACCATACTCAATTATTCAGTTAAAATGAAATTAAAAAAGAAAAAAGACTTCACTTGGCAGGGGGGGCGTGCCTTTCATTTCATGAAGTTCCAGTTTATGTGCATGCATGTTAATGTTACATGAAAATTAAACGTACCGTTTGGGATCTGTTCACTGAAATCTTCAGTTGGTGTGGGATTGGGCAGCCTGCAGGGGCAGTAAAGACGAAAAGGGAAGCGGATGGGCGGCAGAAGCATCTTACGCGGCGCTGGCATCTTACGGAGGGTGATTGGTAAGGCGTCCCATCCAGTGTCCGCGTTCGCGAGAACAGAAAATTATGGTGGTATTTATCTTATCTTTTATATGACGCCTGATGGATCCCCCCAGTTTACTCCAACTGCACAGCTCGGCGGTTACGTTTATGGGAGACTGGGATTCAGCACTACTAGTACGCATAATGGACCACCACAATTGACAACCCCATATGAATTATTTCTTGCCTACCTTAGATTGGACATTAACACGCCAAAGTCCACCCTTTTCATCCCCCAGATTAAGAAAAAATTAAGCGGAGTGATAAGGTGGGGGAAGAATTGTATGGCGATGTGATAAATCCTGATTTTATATTGATTTTTCATTTCTTATTTGGGATTTTTATCAATTAAATTGGACTTAATTGCATTTATTATAATTAATTTGGATTAATTGTGATTGGATGAAAATATTGCTAAAAAGAGCAAAAATATCATATTTTTATGATTTAGTTTCACTGATTGATTTTTTGGAAAAAAAATCATATCACATTATCTTAGATTTTGTTATAGAAAATTTGGGAGATATTGTAAGGTTTGAATTGAGGGTTGTATCATCATCACCTTCTGAAAAAAAAAAGGAACAGTGGCGGCGGCGGCAAGGCTTCAATATGCATCTTTGTGTGTGTGTGTGTGTGTGTGTGTGTGTATGACCGCAGGGAGAGGAAAAAAAGGCACCGCACACCAGCCCCCAATCTTCGTACACCCATCCACGCCACCTCGCCATCCTTCATCATCATTCTCGGTTTTCTTCATCAACTCTGAAACAGGGGAGGCAGCAAGTTGCGACCTTCACTGTTTGAGTAACCGCCAGCAAGTCTGAAGCATCATCGTCACCTTCCTTTTTCCTCCATCAACACCGGCGAACAACCTCTCTCTCTGCATCAGTTCCTCCGACACTGCCTTCGGCCAGACCCACAGCGCCTATTTATTCTTCTTCCATGGCCGAAGTACACATTGAGCTGATGTTGGGAGAAATTCAAATCATGTCCAGCTAATTTCATCGAGCTTCTTGGAGATGGAGTATTGGGTTTAAGCTTCAGAGTTAATTAGGAGAGTTTTTCTGTTTCAATTCTTTTAATTTAATTGAGTAATGGATTTTCTGAGTTAGAATTAATATTATTTAATTAAATTTTCTGAGATTATTAGTTGTAATTCTTAGTTTAGAATTGAATTTTTGTGATTGAGATTGGATTTTGCAATTTGAGATTTATATTTATATTCAGTTTGGAGTTCTATATGTTATGCTATTCATTCATAGTTTGGATGAATGTTATAATTGTATGGTACTTATTGAATATCTCAAGTTGAGTGTTCTTTGCATAAAGACCCGAATTACATTAATCTAATCCTAATTGCACACTAATCGGTTTTCAAAGGTAATTTTAATTGGTAGTTGTAGTTATAGTCTTAGGACATCTATTAATTAAGATTGCTTGACTTAATCAGTGATTAAGGTTATGATTTTAAATTAGTGAACAAAATAACTCCTAGATCATTTTGAGCAAGGATAACCCAATTTCCATTTTTCAAGAAGCACTATCTCATATCTCCTTAAAATCCAAAATTTTCATTTGCTACTTTTTTTTTAATTAATTTTCTTTCAATTTTAATTTTGAATTATCTTTCAATTTTTATTATATTAAAAAAATCCAAAAAAAATCCCTTTTTAATAGCAATTTTGATTTTTAGTTAATTTAGAACCTAGTTAATTTTTGGCTCCAATAAGAGAATGATTTTGATTTGCATCACTTAGTGCATTCTAAATTTAATTTAATTTGATCCATTGATGATCATATTTTACTTTTAACTCATTCATTCTCCTTAGACATGTCAAATCTCACTCAGCATCTTCACTATTGCTATCATTGGCAGCCAACTTTTTTGTCATTGTTAATTATTACTTTTGGTGGCGATGCCATCACCCTCCTCTTTTTAAATTTATATATGACTCAAAAATAACCATTTAACTTTAAGTCATACCTTCTCTCCTCTTCTTCCGCCTCCACAGGTTCATTGAATGAAGCCTCCAGATTGGAACACCTGTTCCTTCTCTAATGGCCAGCCGAAACAGTCGAGTTTAAGAATTAGAAGGCCGTCAAAACTCAAATACAAGTAAATCACCAACACTAAGAAAGGTACAATAAATAAATACGTAAAATCACTCTCTTCCATCCTCCCCTTATAATTTCTGCAAAAATAATGACGGGGGATCTGTAGTTCGGATCCAGACTCTTCAACTTTTGAGGTCGTAATTTCTGCAAAAATAAAAATAATATTAGATGCAGACGTTTTCATCATTTTGTGTTCATGAAGTTCTTCCGAAAATTAAATCATAAAAATATAGATCTCGTATGTGTGATCACTCTTTTTTAACTCGGAATCGCAGAAGAAGTAAATACATGCAGGGTTCCGTCAGGGCGCACACGCATATATAAAAACCGAGAGAAAGATTCCACAAGTGCATGATTAAACATTTAATTAATATGAATGATGGAATAATTTGCATTGATTCCGCACACCCCGTTGGAATTAACTAAGCACGCCTTGATTAATTAGTAGGGATGCCCATTAAAAAGAAAGAAGGCTGCATTAATTGGTCAGCGATGATTAATTATGAATGAAGAGCAGGTGGCTTGCATGGAAGGGCCAATAATGGAGGGTGGGAACAATAATATAAGAAGAGAGGTTCAATAATTTGATTATTGAAATACATATTGAAATGGAATGAAGGCAATGATTAAAGCGTAAAATATAAGAAGAGATGCATGTGATGTGATGGCAGGAGTGTGAAGTCAGAGAGTGACAACAGGGAGAGTGTATGTGGAGGACAAGCCTTCACAAATTTGTAGCTGCGTGGGCTTTTTATCCTTATGTCGAACACGCAAGTGATTTGGTCCGCCCACTCACTCCGACAGATTAGGCCAATGCATATATATATATATATATATATATGTTTGAGTTTAAGGATGTTTGGTAGAATCCAAACTATAATTTTTAAAATTATTTTGATGGTATATAAAAATTTATCTCATTGGAACAAATATTTTTCAAAAATATTTTTTCAGTATTGCCCCTTAGACCTTGATGGTGATGGAGAGTGAGAAGTGTTCAAAAGTAAAACATGAGGGCCACTAACAGCCGAAGTAAATAATAATGGAGGCAGCTTTTACGACCAAAAAACAAAAATTAACAGGGGCAACACGTGTGTGCGCGATTGATGATGACTTGGCCGGCAGGGACCACTGCTTTTCCAAGCTCTACCGCCATTTTCATCTTCTTATCATGTCACCTACATTTTTTTTTATTGTTTTCTCTACTCATTACAAAATGTTGGCTTTAATTTGGACTCCTCTTTTGTTTCTTCTGAGACAAGCGGTGCGGTGGCATATGGCTCTTCATTTCAAAAGAATTATATATATAAGTTGGATCCAAACCGTGATAGAAGCTTTGTCATATCTGAGGCCGTCACACACACACGGCAACAGCTTCCCAGTTTATTTTACTAATTGAACCATGCATGTTTACCATACTTATTCAGTTAAAATAAAACTTAAAAAGAAAAAAAGACTTCATTTGGCAGGCTGGCAGGCATGCCTTCCATCTCATGACGTTCCAGTTTATATGCATGCATGTTAATGTTACATGATAATTAAACGTACCATTTGTGATCTGTCCAATGAGAAACCTTTGGTTGGTGTGGGAATGGGCAGCCTGCAGAGGCAGTGAAGACGATGACGGAAGCGGATGCGCGGCGGAAGCATCCTGAGCGCGCTGGCATCTTGCGGAGGGTGATTGGTCAGGTGTCCCATCCAATGTCCGCGAAAAAAAAAAACGTCCTGGCAAAAGGAAATTATCCTTCTGCGGAAAAAACTAAATACGCCGTCCGCTTCATCCCCTAGATTGATAAAATGGAGGGATAATGTCGGGGGAGAATTGTACAGAGATGCTTATCCAGTTAATGGTTGATCATTACTGACGGCTGTCCCCGTACGGTTCTTTATCCACTTTCATCCCATACATACATGACACGTAAAACAACTGCCTCCCTTTTTCTCCCGATGACGCTGACTTCCATTGCTACGTACCCCCACCCTCGTATAAATCAATCTGCTCTTCTTCAAACGTTGTTGGCATCGTCCTCGCTCCCCCTCCCTTGTCTTCTCATCATATATCATTATGTCGTCATTACTTACCCCACGCCTCCCCCACCCATTATAGCTACACATTTAACCCCAAGAGCTTTGTCATATCTGAGGTCAAACACACAGAGGGGATCAGCTCCTGAATTCTTTTTACTATCTATTCGATGCCCATGCATATATACCATACTCAATTATTCAGTTAAAATGAAATTAAGAAAAGAAAAAAGACTTCATTTGGCAGGCGGGCATGCCTTTCATTTCATGAAGTTCCAGTTTATTTGCATGCATGTTAATGTTCCATGATAATTAAACGTACCGTTTGGGATCTGTTCACTGAAATCTTCAATTGGTGCGGGATTGGGCAGCCTGCAGGGGCAGTAAAGACGAAAAGGGAAGCGGATGGGCGGCAGAAGCATCTTACGCGGCGCTGGCATCTTACGGATGGTGATTGGTAAGGCTTCCCATCCAGTGTCCCCGTCCGCATCCGCGTCCGCGAGAACAGAAAATTATGGTGGTATTTATCTTATCTTTTATATGATGCCTGATGGATCCCCCCAGTTTGCTCCAAACTGCACAGCTCGGTGATTGCGTTTATGGAGGACTGGGATTCAGCAATACTAGTACGCATAATGGACCACCACAATTGACAACCCCATATGAATTATTTCATGCCTACCTTAGATTGGACATTAACACGCCTGAGTCCACCCTTTTCGTCCCCCAGATTGAGAAAAAATTAAGTGGAGTGATAAGGTGGGGGAAGAATTGTACGGAGATGCTTATCCAGTTAATGGTTGCATCATTAACTGACGGCTGTCCCCGTATGGTTCTTTATCCACTTTCATCCCATATGCGTAAAACAACTTCCCCCCGCTCTCACCTTGACGCTGACTTCCATTACCACATGCCCACTCCCTCATAAATCAATCCACGCTTCTTCACAACGTTGTTTGTCTCTCCCTTCCTTATCTTCTCATCACATATCATCACGTCATCATTCTTTACCCCAAGCCTCCCCAGTATTTATATTTGTATTGTTTCTTAATTAACTTTCTCCTCAAGAATTCATATTCTACTTTCAACTCATTCATTCTCCTTAGACATGTCAAATCTCACTCGGCATCTTCACTATTGCTATCATTGGCAGCCAACTTTTTTGTCATTGTTAATTATTACTTTTGGTGGCGATGCCACCACCCTCCTCTTTTTAAATTTATATATCACTCAAAATAACCGTTTAACCTTTTTTTTTTTTTGATAAGACGGAAAGAAAATAACCGTTTAACCTTAAGTCATACTTTCCCTCCCCTTCTTCCGCCTCCGCAGGTTCATTGAATGAAGCCTCAAAATTGGAACACCTGTTCCTTTTCTAATGGGCGGCCGAAACAGTCGAGTTTAAGTATTAGAAGGCCGTCAAAACTCAAATACAAGTAAATCACCAACACTAAGAAAGGTCCGATGAATAAATATGTAAAATCACTCTCTTCCATCCTCCCCTTAATCATACTCGTAAAAGATGTAAACTTTTCCCTTTTAATTTATTGGGGGCCCCGTATCCAAAATTTTCGTTTAAATATCCCCCCACCCGCTCATGAATTCTGTACTGTGTCTGTATGGCATTCTTCCTACCACCCCACTCTCACATCTTTCATTTGCCAGCCCAGGAAGATTTTACTTTTGCACCCACCCCTCCCATCCTCACCTCACTTCTCTCACATTGTCCTTCAAAGCGCCGTCAGCATGCGGGAGGCATACGACGTCACCGTAGAAGAAGACGCAGCGTCGTCCGCGACCGTCGGAGAGGCATCCTCGGGGGTCGTTTTGCTGGGAAAGTACCGGTTAAAAGAGTTGTTGGGTGTGGGAGCCTTTGCCAAGGTGTATCACGCCACGAATGTGAGCACGGGACAGAGCGTGGCTATCAAAGCCTTGAGCAAGCGGGAAGTTTTCCGGGGAGGTCTCATGGAGCACGTTGAGAGGGAAATCTCTATCATGCGCCGCCTGCACCATCCCCACACCCTCAAGCTCTTCGAAGTCCTCGCTTCCAAGTCTAAAATTTACTTCGTCCTCGAGTTAGCCAAGGGCGGCGAGCTCTTTGACAAGGTCGCTCAGGGGCGATTCTCCGAAGATCTCAGCCGTCGCTATTTTCATCAGTTAATTTCCGCCGTCCGATACTGCCACTCCGCCGGCGTCTTCCACCGCGACCTCAAGCTCGACAACCTCTTGATCGACGAAAACATGGACCTCAAGGTTTCGGACTTCGGATTGAGTGCTCTGAAGGACCACGTCAGACCGGACGGTTTACTGCACACCGTTTGCGGCACGCCGGCTTACGTGGCGCCGGAGATGCTCGCCAAGAAAGGCTACGAAGGAGCGAAGGTCGACGTGTGGTCGTGCGGAGTCATCCTGTTCGTCCTCGCCGCCGGGTATCTCCCCTTCAACGACCACAATCTGGCCGCCATGTACTGGAAAATCTGCAGGGGGCAATTTAGGTTCCCGAGATGGACGTCGCCGGAGCTCCGGCGTTTCCTGTCTCGGTTGCTGGACAAGAATCCCGAGACGAGAATCACGGTGGACGAGATCATCCGAGACCCATGGTTCAGCAAAGGGTACAGGGAGGTGCGGGTCCAGCACAAGGAATTCGAATCGGATCATGAGCAGAGCCGACACAGGGGACTGAACGCCTTCGATTTGATATCGTTTTCGTCCGGCCTGGATATGTCGGGCCTATTCACGGACTCAGGTTCGTCGGACTGCGTGGAACGCATCGTCTCTGGGGGAAAACCGGCGAACATAATGGAGAAGGTGGAGGGAGTGGCAAAAGCAGAGGGAGTGATTGTGAGGAAGGAGGCGAACGGGGAGGGAGCGAAGCTGGAGGGGCAAAGAGGTAATATAATGATAAGGATCGGCATATACCGGCTAACGGATAAACTGGTAGTGGTGGAGGCGAAAAGAAGAGAAAGGAGAGCGGGAAATGGGAAAGGGACAAAATTTTGGGAGGATAAGCTGAACCCGGAGCTCCAGAGACTGGTGTATAAAGCAGGAGACCAAAAATGAAGAAGAAAATCAGATGTTGATGGAATCCCCATGGAAGGGAATCACATTGTGTGATCTCTCTCAGTTGAAGGCTGATTAGTGGGAGAGACAGATTGGTGGATATGTGGGCTCCCACAAGCAAAATCGGGTCAAGAGCCGCCTGTCCCTGCTTCCCCAATCATCTCTGAAGCAAGCAGTGGAATCTTTTGTTCATACTAGATCATGATGCCCTGTTTCACTTAAACCCTTGTCTATCCTTACGTTCACTCTTATCTTAATTCACATTGTACAAACTAAAAATCAATTAGTTTATTGTAATTATATTTTAATATGCTTTTAAAGAAAACGAGCTCAACTAAAACTTACTTAAATGATGCATCCAAAGATCAGAGTCACAAAAATTAAATTTGAGAAGTTTTTTTTTTTGTCCAAATTTGAGAAGTTAACACTACTTTAATTTTAAAGTGATGAAAAAGTTGCTCTGATCCCGATACATTATTTTAAACTTAAATTAGTTTTTTTTTTTAAATTGAAAAGGTCAGCTTTTCATAACATCTACTTACTACAGATTTTATCATCAGCTCTTAAATTTTAAAATTTTTGTTCAAACAATATAATTTTATTCTATTTTCAAATATACATACGCTCACTTCAATATGAAAATTATACATATATAGATATATCTTCTTATATACTGAATGTGTAGCATTTCAGTTCAATTTTTATTTTTATTTTTGGAAAACGTATGCTCTCAGTTTATGAAAAATGCTTCATTAATTGAGAGCATTTTCATATTAATTAGAACTAGATTGAAATTATAGCTCCTTATGCTTAGAAAATAGCCATAATTTATTTATTATGGATAAAAATATTCATATTGGAAGTTGGAATGGATTAGCAGAAAGTAAGAAGAGAGAAGGAGGAGGGTGATCGACGGGATGGCAACAAGTGGGATGAAAGGGCGGGCGGGGGCATATGAGAATAAGCATCTCATATCACCCACACCTAACCTCTGCTTATCAGTGCTCACCATTGACCAAAGGAATATTCCTCTGTCGTCTTCTTGATGCCCTCATTTCGCCACCCTCCTTATTCTATTTCAACTACCCCCCCCCCCAAAATTTTTTTTTCAATCCTACCATCTTATTCCCTCTTCTTTTCCTTCCTCGATTTGATAAAACCACATACTTATCCCTCAATTTACAAGTCAAATGCAACCCACATCTCACAGATCTACACTTCCTGATTGGCTCTTTAAATGACAGTCTCAGGTGATTTTGGATATAAGCGAAGTGAAATATATTACTATTTTATGATGCAATTCTTTGAAAATGCTTAGTTTAATCACATGAACAATAATTTTCTAAAATTTATTTTTTTACTATTACGAATAGGGCTCGTTATGATTTTACAAATTACTATAAGAACAACACTTTGAATTGCCGGGAACCAATATTGTTCCTTGTGAAGCAAAATTTCACGCAATGCAAACTGTTATGTTGTGACGGTCAAAATGTGAACGGTAAACTGTTGGAAAACGAGTTGAAAACAAAAATCCGACCTGCCGGATTCGAACTAGCGACCTAAGGATATCTGTTTTCACTTTCAACTACAGTCCTCCGCTCTACCAACTGAGCTAAGGTCGGAGTTGTGATGGCAGCCTCGACAACCAATTTAGTGTTCTTTTCTTCAGTAATGCACATTTTCCAGATCACATCATTCTCAGCTTCTGAACCACCACCCCCACGTAATCCCATTTCTGCTACCAAAAATAACGTTGGAGGCAGCAATGCTTTTTAATTAATTCTATTTAGCCCCAGAATTTCAGCAGGCAGCCAAGTGAGGAGCAAACGCATTTGGATCCCTCTAATCGCAAAGAAAACATAACCATACATTTAAAAGGAGTGATATGAGAAAATGTGGCAATTATATTTTTTTCCCTCTGACCCATAACGCTCTTTGTATTCATTCTATGAATGTAGTGTTGGTGCCGAGACAAATACCGCGCTCTCAGAATGATTAAATGCATATATTATCAGGTCTGATTCTTCAGCAAGTATCAGAAGCGATCGTATAAGAAGCACATGAAGTGGATACAAGCATTTTAATTTCTGACGCAGACACAGCTGCACTAGAAGTAAAGCGCAACTCTGCTATTGCTTGTAACTTTGCAGAGTGATGGTAGTATCTATTTCTTTCCAAGGAGGCTTCTTTCACTTCAATAATTAAAAGTCGGAAAGCAAGGCAGTTTCTTTCATGTCTTTGGCTTCCATATCAATTGTGGAAGCTTTGCAAGCACGTAATGCAGTGCATATATCCGTTCTTTCCAGGAACTTCTCCGCTTTGACAAGCATCACAGGTCCGTACGCGAAAACCAGCCTCTTGCACTGCAATAAATTTGGAACGCCATGTGGTGAAAAAAGAAAAATTGAAGTCAATTGATGAAACAGGTAAAACTTAGGGAAAATTGTGCACTCCGTTTGTTTTAGATACTACATCAGGGAACAGGGGGTATTCTTAAGCTCTGTCTGGACTAAAAGTTCAGTTCCCTCCTCAAACGATGTTAAGAGTAAACTCCATTACACTTGCATGTAATACTTTAATTGTATGAAAACTGGTGAGGAACTACGGTTCCGACCATGCAAATTTATTTAACTGGATAAAAATCTGAGTTTTTAAATAAATGCGAGACTAAAAAGAAAAAGGCGAAACTCGTCAGATTTTTCTCACCTTTTGTGCATACTTCTCTATGGATTTGCACGCCTTCAATAATGGCTCAATTACATCTAGCTGTCAGTTAAAACTGAATTTGTTAGTAGCGTACTCGACATAAGATAATGATATCCAGAAGAGGCCAAATTATGATCAGGATATCGGAGAACCATAATGATAGTTGAGGGTTTTCAAGAAAATGTGAAAAAAATTTTGCAGGACAGCAGGATAAGAATATATTTTAGAGTGCATAAAAGCCATGTAATATTTTACCAAACTATGATCAGGATATTGGAGAACCATAATGCTAGTTGAGGGTTTGCAAGAAAATGCAAAAAAAAATTTTGCAGGACAGCAGGCTAAGAATATATTTTAGAGTGCCTAAAAGCCATGTAATATTTTACAAGTTTTGGAGTAAACAGAAGATCATAAGCTACTAGAAAACAAGGAAAATTCCACTACTCCAGCTGAGTCGTAGGAATTGAAATTTCTAACCTCGTTGTCAGGATCATTCAACTTAACCAATACTTCTGAGACAGCATCTCTGCAAAATCCACAACTATCTTCTTGGACTTGAGATGAAATCTTTGCAATTCGCTGACATAGATTGGCCTTTTTACAAAGTTCTCCAGGTTGCAATGAAGCTAGTTTTGAGAAAAAGCGGGGAGCATAAAGGTCCACCAAATTTAAACACTGCACAAGGCAGAAGAAACAGATGAGTAAATGTAAGGTCTGAGAAATTCCTATTCATTAATCCATTCGTCCCCTGGATTCCTCAAGTGCTGACAGTTGCACTCTGTTATACAACAAGGTTGCTCCAAAATGTAAATCAACACACTATATGGTTTAACATAAGTTGGGGCTATGTTATTCTGTATAAGAAAGGTTCCATATGCAAAATTATCATGCTTGCAGCCCATCCAACCATCCTGTGGCTGAACAGAATGTTGGTTGAACATCAAAAAAGCATAACCCGAGATTATTACTAGATTTGCAATAACTGAATAACTTCAGCATGAAACCATAAACACCACATATCCAAGAAAAGGTAACCAACCTCCTGCTCTAAAGGGCGCAGCTTATGACATGTATGGTAAAGGATATCAATGATCTCATCCTGGGTCTCTTTTTTAGTCAGGAAATCAAGAGCCTCGGAAGTATATTCCTCACAAAGTGCACAAACATCTTTTTTCTTGGCTACTTCTGCATTTTTCAACGTAGAAAGTATAAACTACTCATGTCACAATCATATATCAAACTATAAACAACATACAATTGCTGTCTACAAAAATTGTAAAGATTTGCACTTGATGTTCAGTCAAACCACATCTGTGGTCTTCCTCCTTATTAAGGTGAAGGTTGAAGACCACTGCATTTTTGACAAATTGGAAACTTATAGCGGTGGGCAAGTAGAGGTTATCTTCTGACAGGGCTTATTCAATGTCAATAGATTTTAGATGATCTTGTATCCTCTATTGGCCTATCTGAGATGACTCATTTGAGGAGGTCTGTGTTGTTAAGATTTATAGGTTGGACTACAATCCATCCCATCTTTTGGCCACATTTTCTTGTTTCAGATCATTGTGCTGAAAAAGCCATGTGTCAATAATTATAAACTACCATCTTTCCACAAAAGTCTTTACCTGTTACTTAAATCCTAACTTACTTTTCACAATTGATTGGCATCAGTTTTAGGGAAATTATTATCCTATTCTGGTGGTAGTATTTGAGATTAATAATCAGTCGCTAGTTAAATTTAGCTATTTACCCAACAAAATTAATAGTGAAAAAGAAAGGTAAGATATACATGCTTCCACTCTATCCATCTCAGGAAGAAAAAAGGAGGATGAGAATGATAACAGTTGAATATGTTACCCGAAGAGTCTGATTTTGCAGTATTGTTTCTCCAAAGATCAGGATTAGCCATTTCTCTTGCATCACAAATCCAAGCAGCACTCAGCACAGCGAGAAATAAGAGCCCTGTTCTCTCCTCCATGTTGCTTTTAGTAAGCACTAAAATAACCTATAAAAGAGTTTCAATTGGGGTAAAGCTACAGAAAAAGGGGGAAACGACAAGATAAAAAAAGGGATCAGCGTTCACATACTTCTATGATGCATAATGCATTTGGTGAATCGTAATGTACTTTGATACTTAAGAACTGGGCCAAGGCATACTAAGATTTAGGGAGCCAATTTGATAGCCCCATGCGAATAAACATACATTACTGATGAAGTTCGTTAAACTATCACGTAAATAAATACATTGATCTGTGCGACGCACTGTGGAAGAGTAAAGACATCCATGCCTGGAAGCAAATGAGAAATGAAGGCGCCAGCTGGATCAGTTGGAAAACTTAGTTGCACCAGGTACGCGATGAAATTTCACGTTCACCAGGGTGGGAGGGGGGTGAGTTACGTCCCAATGCGTAACTCACGCCAATTGATTAATGAAGGAGGAAAAGAAGACACACGAGAGAGAACATGTCCATCTTCTCTCTTATGCTGACCCCTTGTTCCTGATAATGAAAATACCTCAACTTCAAACCCTCAAAGGTGAACTAAGAGAACTGGCAAAACTGCAAAAGGCGCTCGGTCCAAGATATTATCCTACAGCCTATCACGAGCTGAGCTTACTCGAAATAAAATCAGTTCAACATTGCGTGAGGACAGTGAAACTATGTTACTTCGATACTAGCAGATCCGCTTAGAGCAATTTAGAGATACCTCAGCAATACTTTAAGTTCAGGTAATTTATTGCCCAAATTCACTTGTAAATAAAAAAGCTGAAACCCAATTTCTCCAAACTACGATCAGTAACACCCCGCCCAACAAAAAGAAAGAAAGAAAGAAAGAAATTGCAGTTACAGTAGTATCGATTACGAAAACAAGAGGAGTGTTTGATATCACGTATCCAATGGGATCACGAAGCAAACGGGGGAAAAAGGCGACGACCAACCGCGAAAAGGATGAGGCGGGAGAGTGAGACGGGAAGAAGCGTTATTTTTCTCCAGAAATAAATTAGATTGACGATACAAGAGATAAAGTTAATATTTTTCGCAGTATTTCCAGGAACACAAAAGAAGGAGAAGAGAAAGAGAAATTACCTTGGGGTTTAAGGTTCAGGAAGGAGAGAAGCAGGGAGGGAAATAGAGACGACGGAGCATCCAATGTGGATGGCGTAGGGATGAAGGAACATATGATTGCATGATTCTATTATTAGCATAGTAGCCGCCGAGTTTGGATTAAGAGTAGAGATATTCCAAAAGGATCGGACATGGAACTTCTTGGGTCTTACATAATTCAGGGACCCAATTCTATCCCATGCGAAATTTCTCATGTCATGTTAAAAAAGTGCGTAGTTTCTTATCACGGTGTCCCTTAAAACTTTAAAAATGCCGGTCCATTGGTTTTTATATGTTTTTTTCCATTAAACTTAATTATCCTGCCAATTCATCCCCTCAAATATGAAATAATCATCAAACAATACGTGTCTAGACACGAGGTGAAGGGTTCCCCCCCCCTTTCTTTTTCCTAACAGGATCTTCATTATTGTCTTCACACAGATCCCTGTAATCCTATTTTGGACTTCAAACGAGGTAGTACATACAAGTTACTACCAAAGTTAGGGCCAATGAAATTGCAGCTTCAAACTAAGTGCAACGGGTTTCAAGTGGTATGTAAATTGCTTTCAGAAGTAAGACTAGCCCAATTTTGTTCTCAAACCATGTGCAATTACAGAATTCAACATCTTTTTAATATAAAGCCTTATCATAAGTGACTTGATACCATATCTCAATCTAAAATTTGTAGGTTATAAGTTAATAGGTTTTTCGATTTTTATATCATCCAAGTAATATGAGACTTCAAGTCCATTCATCCTTAACATCTCAATTCAAAGTTCGAAAATTGTAAGTGTATGGATCTTTCAACTTACATACTTTTTATCAAGTCCAATTCCATATGATGTGAGACTTCCTCCGTGGAGTTGGGGCCCCCCCCGGGGGGGGGGGAAGAACTTCCCATGTCAAGCTAGGTTTGCTCATACTTGCACATTGTTTCGTAACTGCTTATAACAAATAAATCCATATCAATCATATCTACAACTAGTTTGACATCTTCTAATTAGGTAATACATAAACTCGGACTTCAACCAAATAATTAACGAACAACAAATAAGTTACTAGCAAAGCAGGCGCATTTCTATGGACTTGATGGAAGCCGCATCACCTCAAATTCAGAGTTGGCTTCTTTTTCTTCTGGTCATTTCCCAAAAGATGTGACAATCGAGCAAACCCGAATTTCTTTCTCTTTGCACAAAACTGCTTACAGAAGTATGAATCTTCCTTTTGCTTTCCAAGCATGTGACCCAGCGATCCTGCTTCAAACTCTCGTGAAAGAAGCAGCTTCCTGCTCAGTATTTCTCCTATTGATAAAACTGTCTTTGGAACATCTCGTTTGGCTTCATCATCTTCCAGTTCCAGTCCATTTACACCAACTAACAGAGAATCTCTTCGATGATGAGATGAAGGGTGGGAATTTTTGAACCTGGTTGAGTTACGTGCAGAAGAAGGCCTTCTTTTGTGACCCTTCCTTAAGGCCTCTTCAACTGCTAGCTTCCCTCTATTTGCAGCCCCTACTCTTTCCATGGCTTCTTCTAAATCTTTCTTGCAAGTCTGAACTTCTTTTGTGGCCTCCTCCACCCTTTTCAGGATCTCCGTTTTTGATAAATTGGCTTCATCAATTTGAAGCATTGCATCTGTAACTTTCCTCTTCGAGCTTTCCTCTGCTTCTAGAGCTTTAGATGTTAGAGCATGATACTCTTCAAATGAGAGAGTTACCACTTGAGAAGAATCCGTGAGATTATTAGATAGGACATTAATTTCTGCTAAGGAAGCTGATTCTGCAGCCCTAGCAGCCGCCTTCATCTTCCTAGCAGCAACCACTCTTAATTCAGCGGTCCTTATCATGCTTTTTGTCCGTTCAATCTCAGACATCGTTCTCAAGACTTCCGATTTTGCAGCTTCTCCCATTCTTTTGAATTGTTCTGCCTCAGAACACAACCTGTGGAGCTCTTTTGTGATATCTGACGGATCATCTTTTGCAGCTTGAAGTTTTAATCTTGTCTGGCTCAACTCTTCCTCAAGAGAAGATAATTTTGAAGAACTGTGAGTTAACCTCTCACGGGTTCTCTCGAGTGAGGCTCTTTCCGTCTTTAGCTTCTTATTAAGCGATACAACAGAAGCTCGTACATCAGCTATATCATTTGTAGTTTTGGTTAAGTTCAACTTGGCCTGCTTCAGCTCCATTAATATCAGACCTGGTTCAGATGAAAGGTAGGGACTAAAGCCTCGGTTCAACGTGTCCAATTGATTAACTTGGTTCTCCTTATCTTCTTCTTTGTTCTTCAAATAGGCTTCACATTCTTCCTTTTGCAGCCTTGATTTTAAATCTTCAACGAGCCTTTTGGTGCTTTCCAGTTCTTTCAAGACATCCAGAGTTTCCTTTTCTTTCACGATCAGTTCTTTCTCCAATACTGCTGCTTCCTCCTCTAGCTTCCCAGTGTCATGCTCTGGTGCTTCCTGCTGCTAAAAAATAATGCAAAGCGATCAAAATTTTAACTAATTAAAAAAAAGTAATTCGCACAGAAGCACATTGAGCCTGAAGCGAGACAGAGCATATGCTCGGTGGTATTTCAATCACTTGTTGAGAGGAATTTTAATTCCATGTTATATACTAGTTTAATGCAGAAGTTTAAATGGTAAACCTAAGGCTTCTGAATTGTTTTATCATAGTTTTCAGCACATTCAACCTGGTGTAAACGTAAATTCAGTAGACAGATGTAGCTGAAGTTATGAGGATAGAATGCTAGCCGTCAAAAACTATCATTGCCTTAAGACTGTCAGAAATACCAATAATATTAGGGCACACGCTGTAAAAATAAAACCTTTGTTGATTTTACAGTCATCTGTGGTGTTTTGGTAACAACAGTGTTCAGAGAGATTAAAAAGAAAAAGAATATTCACGAGAGATTTCAGTAGAAATCTCAATTTTTAAGACTTAGAGTTCCAACATGGATTCCTCAGTAGGAAAATGGGTCCACACTCAGGGAAGATTATTGAAATTACGAAATATTTTATCTGAGAAGAAAACAGAGAGATCTCTCGCTGCGAGGATCCTCTAATGACCTTAAATTTCATCACTACAATTCTACGGATCCGAGTCTTTCTATTGCTCATAAGTCATAATAATAAGCGTAGCAAATTACAGCAATTAATAATTGATAAAATAAATGACCGTTTGACCGCAATATCACCAAAACTGCTACTAATCATCACTGACCACAAGAAGAACATACCCACCAAAAATAAAAACATGAAAGGAAACCGAGAGAGAATAAGCGAACATAATCTAGAGAACTTTGAACATATAGAGTGGTAACAGTCACATTGCAAGAGACCAATATTCATTGACCAATTCTTTCTTTTTTGACACGAAATCATGAAGGCTTCATTTTTCATTCTGGGTGAGGGCGAGTGAGACACACACACACACACAGAGAGAGAGAGAGAGAGAGAGAGAGAGTTACCTCAAGAGTGGACAGATTATCATGGATGGATGTCCAGACGCCAAGACCCTCAAATCGGGTGACGGCCTCCTTCACGGATTCGAAGGGAGCCGAAGTATCAATCTGCACTCTCAAAATGCGCTCCTCCTTCTCGGAAGCCGGTTCAAGGAGAGCCACGTCCGGGACCGTTTCAGAACCCAATTCGGAGCTGTCTGCTTCCATCGCCGACTCAGTTCAGTGCTTCAGAAACTAAAATCCCAGGAATTCCAGAACGTGAAGAACGACGAACAAAGGAGATATATTTTTGGTGGTTGCGTGTGTTGGGTGATGAAGCACGTAAAGGTTAAGGGGTGCTATCTCAGCAGCAGAGGAAAAGGAAAGAAAAGGCGGGGGAGAGAAGGGGAAGATGGGAGACTTGTTCAGTGGGAAGTTACTTGAATGGCTTTGCTGCAGTTAAAAGGCTGCGGCTCCTTGAGAAGAGGAGATAGGACAATTATGCCGTTGGAAGCAGCACGGGAAAAGAGCAATGTGAGTTGGGACCCTTTGGATCTTTTGTCAACGGTAACAAACAAACCCTTTTACGACATCGTATCCTTCTTCCTAAACCAACGGACAACGGCCTCGCTGGGTTGTCTGGATTTTTTTCCCTCTAAACTGTCGTTAAGAAGCCTGCAAAATGAAACAAAGCTAGGGGGTAGTGAAGAAAGATTTGTCGTTTCTTTCACTTTGGCAGCTGTTAAATTTATTCTAAACGGGAAATGTTTTCATTAAAAAAGAAGAAGTTAGAGGTGGTCCTGTCTGCAAAGAGTTGTTTAGTCAGTGTTCACTGCGTTGCTACTGATGATTAATTATGCCATTTATGAATCAGGGGCGAGATATAATTTTTCACTGTGAGTGTTATTTTTTAGAACATTCAAATTACTCAAAATAAAGGTAAGCTAAATTGTGTAGATTGAAATTGAACAATATGATATAATTGTTTGTTTTAGAGTAACAAACTGAAAGTTGAGTGTGAAGTGGATTATTAAAATGCTACAGGCCTTAATTGGTGATAAATGGTAGTGTATATTAGGGACAGTGGATTGGAGGCAACATGAAAATCATCATGATGTCTGAAGTCTTAACCGTTGCACGGAATATTCTCATCCTTCCACTCTAAAGTATCACTCTACCGTTTGAATTTCGAACCCCTCTCTATAAAACAACCTTGCCCTGTTTCATTCCCTTTTGCCAAATGCCCATGAATGTTCAAAATTCAAATAGCCCAATAGGCATCCCCGGAGTGTTTTCTTTTTCTTGGGCCAGAGCCTCAAGGCCTACGCACTTGAAGTGGGCCTAGTTATGGGCTTATGGCCCTTTGGGAACACAAATTTGTTGATTTCAAAACTCACAAGTTCCTCTTTTTTTTCCGACGTATTTATTTAGGCGTTCAGTTTTTGGGCTCATTAAGTCCACCTCGTCGGCCCAATTAGCCTCACCGTCAAGTCTGCTCGAGTCACAGTCGAGGACCCACTACATTGAATAGCACATGCACTGATCACTCAGCCAACGCTGTGTTTATTGACTGTTAAGTATGCAAACGCGTTCACACACTCAAATGATAAGTGCCATGCCTACACATGAACACAACCCCACTCCAATTTCTGTGATCAAAGAGGCAGATGGACCACCCTCAGCCTCATTTAGTTTCTGATGTCCCACTCCATGTCGCTATTTGATTTCTTTTTTTGAAACCATAATACAAAGCGCTGCTTTAGATAGTTGAAGCATCAAATGGGCCATCCTCATAACTAATATACGGCCCCTATGTCCATATCACGCATCAGTTACATTCTTTAGCTTTCATAAATGGCGTTTATTCCTGGAAACTGCATGTGAACTGAAGTGAGGATGGAGCCGTTCGCAGTACAGGAAAAATCAACTCACAAAATGAATGGTTTCTGTTCAATATTAGGGCTGACTAGTTTTACCACGTATTAAGGGAATGGCCAGGAATAGTAAGAGGCTTCAACAATATAATTGCAATGCAAGACTGTCTCACAAATATGGCTATAATATGTGTGTGTGTCTGTAAGACCTGTTCAGCATCTCCTAGTCAATCAGCTGATCAACTCTCCACTGCTCTCTTCTCTATATATTACGTGTGATTCTCACGGGTTATGCTTTCTCATCTTTGTCTCTTTTATCATGAAGCTACTTTTTTTTAGCTGCACCTGGTTTCTTTTCCTTTTCCTTTTCCTTTTGTTTTGTTTCTTTTCTTTTTGTCTTTTTTTTTTTGGGTGTATGGCTGCACTACTTTAAAGCCCAGAGAATCTGCTAGTTAGCATCTGCTGTATATAATTAAGAAGCAGCTGGATAATGAAAATCATGAATGCGAAGAAACTACGAATAAATTTTGCTTGTCTGCGTCAACATAGATTGAAATGAAGAAAGAGATCAGGGAAGCGAAAATGTGAAATAAGCAGAAAGAATTCAGTCCGTTAATTAAATCAATGGCTCAGAAACTAGCTGGGGGAGGCATTTTCTTTAATCTTTAAAAAAGGGGGCACACTGATACTTAATACCAGTCACCATCCAAGTCTCACATGTGTTGTGCATGAATAATAAAAAGAATTGTGCATAATACAAGCTGCGCGAGCCACTTGTCTTTGTATATAAAGACTCTGTAAAGCCATAGTCCAAACTCCAAACAACTTTCTCTGCTACTTCATCATCTTCCCCTTCAGATCCACTTCTTTTATTAACCAACGATGTTTAGTACTGATTTTAAAGCTCAACATGATCATGAGTTTCCCCAGAAGAGCGGTAATTCGGCCTTCCAAATCAAACAGGATGATCAGTTCTTCTGCAGACTTCTTTCAAAGGAAAGCTCTATTTCTCACCCGTCTTTCAGAGCACTTGCTATTCCTTTTGAATGGGAATCTGAACCAGGCACACCTAAGCGTCCTTTTTCTGAAACCACTTTCCCCGCCCTCACTCCTCCACCTTGCTACTACTTTAAAACTACTCGGGACATGACTCCCAGCAAAACGAAGGTGAAGAAGCGATCAAGATTCAAACTTCTGAAGAGCCTTGTCAACATCATATTTTGTATGTAGCTAGGATCAATTACTTTAGTGTCTCAGATGAGAGTTAGAGGGCTATATATGTATATGAATTCACCTTCTACGAGCGAGCTAGTCCAAAGAATGATCGTAGCTTATTCTGTTCCTTAAAGAAATCACGGGTTAGCTCTGTTTGTAAGAAGATATACCCTACCTTATTGCTAACTTTCCGATTTGAAGCTTCTGCAGGTAGATACGGGCGTATGGAAATGCATGGTAACATTATTTAGGCATATTTGACAGCATAACTAGATAACCTGCAGAGAGAGCAGGAAGAAGAAGAAACGCCTTTTTACGGAGCATGTTTTAGGTATGTACTCTCTTTTCCGATATCGATATATAATTCGCACCGTTTCTGCGTACTTAAGTTTTATCTTTTCCCCCAACTACTGATGGTAATTTATTACCAAGCTGCAAAGGTGTAAGCTAGATTCTACCATACATTTTGTTATTTGCCTCGAGCTCTAGTGTGAATGTTAGCAAGTTGTTCACATTATATTCGTTGAGAAGTGAAGTTCTTATGTCAGAAATTATATCGTTCGCATCAATAAGTCTCCCCATTTATTTTACACTATCTCGGAATATTTGTGATGGGCTGATGTCTATATTTTGTTGTGGTAGGAATTGCAAAGAGTTGTTTATTCACAAAGTCGGCTGAGTTTATTATTCAAGGACATGATCAACCACAGATTTCAAAAAAGAATTAAAAATGAAAATAATTAACAATAGGCGGTTTTTGATCTTACCATTTGCGTGTCAACAGATTAAACGGACGCTACCGATGGGTCTGGGGTCTTTCTTTCCCGTTTAATAAATAATCCGTGTATATGTGAAAAACTAAAGGAAGTTAACTAATGGACTACTGCTTAGAAAATCTCAAATTAGATTATATCTGGAGTCATGTCTTAAAAGAAAGAATAACGCAAAGCATATCATCTCCTTCTCTCTCTATCTTTCTCATATTTAATCACTTTTTGATTAGACACAATTATCTTTCTCCGTAGGGCTTGGTCAACACATTACAAGACCCGCCCAGTTCTCTTTGGCCATTATTTTTTGATGATTTAGTTGGGAAGACCAGTGCCAGGATTTGTACGCGCACACCAGTGCCTTTTTTGTTGTCCCCTCGCTAGCTAGTGGGCTCTTTTTGCGGCTTGCTTTGTTGATTAATACACATCCATTGGTCACGGAAAAAACGAGTTATGTGCCACGAACACAAATCCATAATAGTAATAAACCATATCCGTACTTTTTTCCGCAGTAATGGTTACTTATGTTCCACACGGCTTTTCCTTTTCTAAGCTACGTGCCTAGCTAATCACACATATATAACGAGTTATAAATAACTTTATGCTGTACAAGTATTGTCATTGTCGTACGAGATAAAATCTTCCAATTAAACCAGGCCATTTATGAGTAGACGATATATGTATACGTGTATATAGACGGAAAGATCTGATGGTCCATATTGGATATGAATTTCCAAAAATTTTTGGTTATTTCGTAGGTACTGAAAATCGTGAGTTTCTATGGGAGAATTCTTGTCATATTTCGGTCATTCGTATATGTATATGGTAATTAATTAGCCTCGTTTATACGCTTAATGACTAAGAAAAATGGTTATTAGATGACCAGCAGGTTTCTCATCCTACTTATCCGGTTCTGCTCTGTGATTACCGGTTGTCTCTTCACATTGCAGAGAACCCAACATTGAGGTTCATGTGGGAGAAAATTAAACAAAGAATATTAACCTCATATGTGCCTTTGTTAGAGAGAAGATTCAGGCTGGTTTGGACCATCTCAGCTCATGCCTTAGAGTTGATCAAGTTGCTAAAATCTACAGCACCAAACCTCTTGGTCTTCTCCTTTTCGTTTGTTGTTCCAAGCTAGACATGTGCACTAATTAAATCCCCTGGGTCTGGATATCCTACTTGTACCGTGAGTAAGTTAGCAAGATCGATCGTTAATTAGCTGAGTTGTGAATTGCAATCTACTTAGCTTGTTGACTGTACTTTAGTTGAGATGAAGATAATTGTGTTCAATTTTGACGTGCATTGATGACACATATGAGATGTCGACCCAATATTCCCTTGTGAATGAACGTGTGTGTGTGTTTAACAAGGCATTTTATGGAGTGGAGCAAATTAAAAGAAGAGGAAAAGAGGACTGAGATTGCTGAAACAGAAGGAAACGTAGGGACGTACGTGCGTGTAAGAGGTTTGATTCATGTAAATTTGTTGGCAACGGAAGTGACAGTGGTGTCTGAGATTGTCGCATATGTTTGTCATGTGAGCATGTAGGGGCCACCCCTTTCGATGCCACAATTACATTCTCACTTAACTAACCATCCTACCTACTGTCTCACAGTCTCAGCTCATCAAATTAAATGACGTAGATATACAATCAAGCATATGATGGTCCCATATGCAGAGTTTCATATGCTTCCAGGGAAATCACTGTGTGCGCGTAGATATTTTAGAAAGGATGGAATAAATGATCGATGGATCCAAAAATACATCTCTTTAATTTGTCAAACATAATTATGCTGTCCTATTTCATACTCTTTTTAATATATATATATATATATATATACACGTATTAATACAAGTTACGCATAGGAAAAATTGAGTACATGAAGATAATATATAAACTCCATACCATCGTATATATTTAGTTATTTACTTGCATCACACTCTGTCTCTGTCCTTTTATAGAGGATCTAATGTGACGTCGATGTTAATTCAATGAATAATAAGAGTGAGATGTTCTTAAAACATCATCCATACGACATATACAATAAGGCCAAATAAGAGTATTGTTTATATATAAGACATTATTAGGTCGGTACGGTGTGATTTTCAAAAAATTAATTTACAACAATAAGAATATGTATCATATATTATTTCATTAATTTGTTTTTCGTACATTATTTACCATCTATCCTCTCATTAAGATTTCGATCATGTCCGTAATGAAGTACGTGTGTTAAGCCTTGAAGCCCCATGGTCTTTCTGAAGAGTAGATGAATACTGTGGGGGAATATAATAGAGCAATTAATGCTTGATGTTACATCCGCACCGCGGTCTCCATCAATTTCATTCACGTTCCTAGCTTGTCACTATCTCATTGCATTTCAAAGCCTCTTCCGGAAGAAAACAAACTTTCAGAAAATAATAATATTATGTTTAAGGATGTTTTAAAACATGGTTTGAGATGTTTAGGGCAAAACATAAATAATCAAACCAAACTAATCAATTTACTCAAAATATAAAACTTGATCGATTTTTACTAAGGATGGTTTAATTAAGCATACTCTAATCCATTTTGTGATCAAGCAAATCAGAGGAGAGCGAAATCCGTTTCTTCCCCATCCCAAAAAAAAGTCACTCCAATCAAATACTATGGTATATGCTCGTAGGAAGTGGGAACATGAAAGCAGAAGTGAGCATGTGAAACCCATTAATTATTTTAATCATTTTGGGCATTGCATTTCCATTTTCGAAGGAAAGCCAACTACTCCATTAATTTGATGGAAGTTGACGATCATGGATGGCAAGACAATATTGATGTGGTTGATAAGTGCTAATGATGGCAATAGGAGCAATGAGATGCCATGATCGATCTGGTTCTTAATTTCTCTTTGTGGGCAACGAAGAGCTTCTCCAATCTCCACCCTTTAATTTTCACTTCCTGCGATGGCAACCATTCATGATGGAGAGGCGACGGCGACGACAATGAAACGGCAATTGTTCATGGTGAAGGTTCAATATTTTCTCCTTATCCTTCCAACGCTCTATTTTGCTAGTGCTCTTCGACTGTAGGTGCTAGTCTGATTTCATGTTTGTAGTTGTGTGCAATTTTTTCTGGTCGTTTTCTTCTTTTGATTTTCGATTTTTTTGAAATCAATTGATTAATTGTTGATTTTGGACTAGGTCAATCAATTTTCTAGATTGATTGGCTCTATTTGGTTTGATTTATAAATTATATTCTTGCGACAGATGATGGTGATCGGATAATGTGGTGGACGACCCCTACGGTTCTAAAATTTCGGTGAGAGCGCCCTCTCTGTTTTTTTTCTTTTTAATATAAGAAAATATTAGTCTTTTCATATTATAAAAATAATACAATGTTTTCATGAACACACATGCCAAACACATTTTTAAGCTTACACTTCCGTGCCTCTTCCTCTTCTACTAGCATCAAAACTAGTTTCAAGTAACAAACGGGGCTGTTGTTAGCTATACTATCTATGTATGTATTATATATGTGAAAAGATTAAAATATAGCTTGTTTAGTATTAGATATTACACATCTTCTACAATATTTCATAAACTAGTTAAGGAACATAATCCAATATACATTCGTATATGTATATTTTATTTAATTTCTTAACGAAAAGTCTCGTGGCTGTCATACACAATATTGAAATAATTTTTAATGTTGAAGGCATGCACACGCATATGTAGTTTTAATAATAGTTAACCTTCCTGCAGTTGCCCCGAATTTCGCCTTGATCACCAGTGAGGGGCTTTATATTTCCCATCTTAATCATGGAATCGGCGAAGTCCTGGTGGAAAGCTTCAGTATCATAGCTGTACTTCTTAACGAATTCATCGGTGGAACCGCCGGTGAAGAGCTGCTGATCAGAGTGAAGAAGGCCTTTCTTGTGAAGCAGATTGGCGAAGTAAGCCTCGTCAAAGCGAGCAGCGGTGGGGTCCAGTGGAGCCAGGTTGGCATCCCCTCCTTCTCTAGGGCAGCCCCTTTGAAGGTCTTGGGCAAAGTAGGGATCGATGTTAGAGTTGTCGTTGTAGATGCGGTCTCTGAAGTTGCGGCACTGTGCGAAACCAATGGTGTGGCCGCCGGATAAAGCGACAAGGTCTTTCTCGTTCAGGCCTTGTTTCTTGAAGTTGTCGATGAGCTGCGAGAGGCTGAAAAATGGTGCTGGGATGTCTGCGTCTGCTGCGCTTCGGCTTGCCGTTTTGGAGTCTCTTCTGCCAACACTCACTCTCCATGACGGGCCCCCTAACTGCAATATTTGAGATATTATTGATTTCGTTAACTAATGAGGCTAGCTAATTCATTATCATTCATATTTATATTTAGTTATCATTAGGATGATATACGTACTGCCACGACGGAGTCTCGAGCTGCCACCGCCAAAATGTCAGCGCAAGAAACAACAGGGCCGCCACACACTCTGTCCACCTCCATCTTGATCTCATCGATCACTTCAAACCCTCTTGCCGAATTCAAATTCGCATTTGCATTCTTCTCGCTGTCTATGGTTTCCGAATCATCTAGAAGAATCGATCCATCGCATCCCTGCTCATCATCAAATATTCATCCAATCACACCGCCACTCCATAGATCATGATACACTCGCATGCACGTGTGTGTGTGGTTTAAATATCAGGAACTAAAGTATATACATGCATATATAATTGAGTTTCATATAGGTAGCTAGGAATGAGAAAGGTACAATACATTGACGAAACAATCATGGAAGTGCAAGCGAAGCAAAGAAGCGCCCATGCGACGCTCGTTGTTGACGGCGGCCCGAACGACTCTTTGGATGGCTTCCAAAGCCCCAGGACAGGAGTGGTCGTAGAAATCAGGAGACAGTGAAGGTGATGACAGAGCCGTGTTAGCAACACCTAAAAACACCAAGCAATAGAGGACGATGGATAAACACCCATGTGAGGCCATTTTCCACACTCTATAGTTTTCCAATGTATGAGCAACAAACTGAATATTAGGCTCTATATATAATGCAGGAAGCAGAGGAACGGGGCAAACCATAACTGCATCATATAAAGCCTGCAAATACCGACGACTGGGACTAGGTCCAAACGACCATTTCTGGGCATAGTAAGCAAAATATTGTTTAACTTGCTAACGCTCAATTTTACTCTGGCAAGCAATCATGTAAAGAATGATTCAGCCATCATTGGATTTAATTTTTTTTTTGTTTTCCATATATTGATTTAGTCTACTTCGAAGTTTTACCTGCTCGTTTATTATGGGACATACCGTGATAAAGTGCTTGTGTCCGTAGCATCTCTTGATAATATAGAATAGGTAGCTAGATAGTTTTTAATTCTTGAAAGCAAAGTCAAAGTTTACAAAAAGCAGTTTTTTAGAATCTGTCATGACGCTCTTCTGCGTAAAAATATAGCTTTTGGATGCCGACATATATGAAGCATATATATTATATAAACAACAACTTAGTCAACAACAATGACAGACCTCTTCCATAACTTTTTTAGAGTAAATTACTTGAATATATAAGAGTTGTTGAAACCCAAAAAAGCTTAAATATCTCTGCCAGCAATTTTTCTTCCTCTTATTCGTTCTTCTCTCTTATACTTCTTCTGCTTGGGGACGTGGTCAATAAGAAGAAAAGTAAAAGCATTGGGTCGGGTTCTTGTTGGGCCAGCGCACGATAATGACGATTGACCATCCACTTAGCATAAATTGGTTTGGCACTGTTAACTAACGCATAAACCAACTGCTCTTTTTAATCAAATAACCTGTTTCAATGTATCATCTAAAAGTCATTACAGCCTCTAGAATAGTCTTCTGTAAATTTATGTGTTTCGAATTTCTTTTTTTTTTTTTATGTCAGTCCGAGCTCTAACTTAATTACCCGCCAGAAGGAGCCAACCCTCTTCTTCTTTGGCCGGCCCCCTTTTTTTCTTAATATCATCTGATTTTTTAAAATCATGTTTAGCCCTGGCTAATTTGGATGAAGGCAAGTTAAACCACACAAATATTTTAGGTTTTTACAATAGTAATTTGTCCTCACGGAAGAATCGATCTCCAAAATCTCACTACATCCTCCTTACTTCCCAAAATTCTTGTCTCTTTAGTTTAATTTGGACGCGACATCATTCTCTTCATTGCTTTTATCCCGCAGAGCACATCCTTACTCATAATAAATGACTTAAAATTCCATTCACAATTTCTCCGAAAAATAAATACATCAAATCTCTTTTGGAACCAGAAAACCAACGAATTAAATTAAATTAAAGGACCAACATCAACAGAGATGAGAGAACAGCAAAGTAGAGCGGGCTTAGTGATCAAGACAAGTGAGATAGGGAGAGAAATAGAGAGAAAGTAAGAATGATATATAGAATTGAAGTCGTCAATTGAGTTTGCGGCAATTTCTCCTGATCTGGCCATCGGAACCAGTTAGAGGGCTAAGTTCACTCATCTTAATCATGGCATCAGCAAAGTCTGCTCTGAAACGCCAAGGCTCGGAGACGTAAGTTGTGACTAAGGAATCTGAGGAGCCTCCATCGAAGAGTGCTTGGTCTGAGTGCAAGAGACCCTTCTTGTTCACCAGATTCCTGAAGTAAGAGTTGTCGAAAAAGTTGGGAGTGGTGACATCTAAATGTGACAAATTGCTATCGTCACCTGTGCTTGGACATCTGTCTCTTAGTGATGTTGCAAACGACGGCTCTATGTTGGTGTCGTTGTGAGCCCTCGTCCTGAAAGTTGCGCACTTCGCTTCCCCTATTGTGTGCGATCCTGAACAATAATATTCATTTCCATTCATGAAAATCAGTGTTCCAATTAATTAATGGGATTGCTGCATCTATATATGTACAATTAGCCAATAATTAACCATTCATTAATCACTTTAGTCAGGCACTTCTATTTGGGATCTAGATCCTCTGTGGTCACTACTCGACTGTACGGCACCTGATTTAATCCATCAGCCTCATAGCTTTCCCACATGTTCCTCTTGAGTATCTAATCTATTGTTCTGGGTAAAAGGTGAACAAAGCATGGCTTCATTACTTCAGATCGATCACAGCTTTAGAAAGTTGAAAGGTTAATTGGTTTAGACTCATCAAGATTGTACTTAGCTTTTGCATGATTATGGCTTCATACAATCAACAAAACCGTAGCTTTTGATTGTTCTTCTTTGAAGAAAAAGAGACACATGCATTGCTAGTTATTATGAAACAATATGAATCAAATCAATAGATTAGAATTGATGAGTGACGGCATTTGGTGGTGCATGTCAATTGGATTCTTTGCACTTATCATTAATGCCAACTAATAGTGGAACAAGTCCATATATGTATATAAGCTAATTAATATACCAAACTTAAAATATGCTTGTTTGTGCTTTATATACAAATTAAGCAACGACATTACTCGTCAGGAAGGGCACAAATTAATAATTAAAAGTTTATTTATAGAACTTTTTTCAGCACTTCGATGAGAGTAAAAGAGTGAGGAGGAGAGACGACTTAGGGTGAAGGGAAATCATCATTATATTGCCTGAAGCTCACTAGCTCCCTGCTAGTCTCAATCTCCCCTCTTGTAATCTCAAGTTGGTGAAATATATTTATAAAAGGCAATAAAGAAGTATAGAAAGGGCTGTTATATTACCTGACAAAGCAACCATTTCTTGGGCCGTGAATCCCTTTTTGGAGAAAGCAGCGATGAGGCCATTGAGATCCAGAAAGGGAGCCGGCAAATCCCTATTAGCATCACTTAAACTTGCTGTGGTCGAGTCTTTTCTCCCCAGTTTCACGTCCCACGATGGTCCTCCCAGCTGACATGTGTATGGGATCATTATATTTTATATGCAGTGTTAATTAATCATGTGTTAAAAAAAAAACAAAACAAAACAAAACAATCGCTATATATGCTTATGACTCCTCAGTTAAATATACTTACTGTAACCACAGAGTCTCTGGCAGCAACAGCGACAATGTCAGCACAGGAGACAACGCCAGGACACATCAACTCCAAAACAGATTTGATGTTGTCTATAACCTCGTAACCCCTCAGGGAATTCACGTTGGGAAAAGCGGTTTTTTCACCTGTGAAATTCGCCGTGTCGTCCAGCAAAATGGACGCATCGCACCCCTATCAACAAAGAAAAACGTAAGTAAACACGATTGTTGATCAATCTCCTTCACTACTTGATTAAAGAAATTACGTACTTGGACGAAGCAGTCGTGGAAATGGAGACGAAGCAAGGAAGCTCCCATGCGAGGCTCTTTCAGCACAGCGCCCAAAACCGCTGCTTTGATGGTGAGGAGAGCAGCAGGACATGTGGATGCATAATAACCAGACGACAATTCATAAGCTGAAACATTAATAACGCATAGTACCAACAAGAAGAAGCAGCAGCAGCTGATGAATTTCATTGCAGAGAGAATGAACAAGAATGCTGTGAGTTTTGGACTGTCTTATTCAGTGGGCCAGCAAAACTGAAACTGTCAAACGTTATAACTGGAATGGAGTTGGGAGCCTCGGCCTGTACTGCTTTATGTATGATGATATATGTAATTATTTATGAGCATACAACTTTGTTTAATTGTGTGGGATGTTAGCTGTACGTGCTTGCTTAACAATATGACTGCTCACAAGATGCATGCACATCATCTTTGGTTTTCTCTTTTGAGCCACACGCAGCACACGACCTTCGAATTTTATATTAATGAATTACTTATTAATTAATTATAGTAATAATATAATCATGTTCCGCCCTTAGCTGTACTCTTCTACACCATTTGACTTATATATTATTGTCACTCATAATTTAAATAATCTAATTCCTTTTCTTTCAGGTAAAATAATCAAATACACTTTGCTATTGCAAAGTAATGTGGCCTACCTCGTTGCTTAAAGCGAATTATCAACTCGTCAATCACCCCATCATGCAAAGAATTTTATATATGTAGATGAATAACATTTAAATAATTTTTTGTTTTAAAAATTGTTCGATGTCCTATTCGGCATTATTATTATTTGATTTGATGTATTTTCACAGACATCTTAGTTGACGGGCCCTTAGAACATGTCTAAAATTGAAAGACGTGTGAGGCAGGAAGTACATTTTGCAGTAATTAAAATTGTGTTTATTGATTATAGATATAGATTTCTTTGACCATGAGGCTTGATGGATATAATTAATATATTTTTTCGTTACAGGTTATAATTAATAATTGATTGATTAGGTATCGTAGGCTTGCCACGGACAGAAGCCCAAAGTGGAAGGAATGGATCATGATTGGGCCTATAGTGGCCCCCTAAAAAGGCTCATTCCCATCTGTGAGGAGGAAGTGAAGTATGGCGTAACCAGCAGATTAATCATAAAAATCGATTTTTTTTCAACCAGATTTAAGTTTACTCATCTTGACAAAGTACTTTATAGCAATTGGTAATTGGTTTATGGGTTGAAAAACTATTTTCCTTTTAATAAAATTTAATTCTAAAATTAATGTCTACAAACAGACTCCCGTATATCCAGATCCGGATTTTTTGTGATCTGCCTTCAGACCTTAACGGGGTTTACCTTGATTTTCTGGCGTGAACAACTTGAATTCATTGTACTCCCTCCCGTGCTTAGAGGGTGTTGTGTTTGGGTGGAAACTACCATAATTTTAAACACCTTAAGCAATAAGCACTCGTTCTTGTCTGAACATTATTCGTTGTTCATGATATGATGCCACCCTTTGAGATTCAGCGCATCTTTGTTTGTCATACTACTCGTCAAGAAGAATATAATATATTTAGTCACAAATAGATGGACCACAACAAATTAATTGCACAACTGCTTTTAATTTTTCGAATATGAATGATTTCTATCTAGCCGGGAAAAAAAACAAAGAAAGAAATGAATGAATCGTGATATATGCTGGTAAATGACCCAAACTAATTGATGCTTAACTTCTGCAGTAACCTGAGCTGACCGCTAAAGAGTAGAGCATTGCAATGGATCATGAGAAAGGGAGCTGCTAATTAATTTTGAATATAGCAGCACTTTGAGTCTCCTTTCTCTATATATATTATTGCAATTACAAAGTTATTACTAATGGTTATACATAGTCACAACAAGAACTCGTCTGGAGACTATAGCTAGAAAATTAAAAACAGACGAAACGAGGGCCTGAATCTCTAGTTAGGATTTTTAAGTTAGAATTAAGACACACATATATATATATTAGAATTAATAACGCAGCTCACCCGCCTTGGAGAGGGCGAGCTTTTATAGCGTCAAGATGGCGAAATGATCGCTCTCCAAAAATAGGACTGACAAAATGATAACATGAAGGGCCAAAATAATGGGAAAAATAATGAAAGTATATGAAAGGGAATGATAGGCACAAACGCGTGGCCGAAGAATAAGATGCAGAAGACATGCATGCACGCCACGTACGTATCATGTTCGCCATTACTGTATTATTGATATATCATATGGAGGATATATAAGCGCAATGGGGAAGAAAAGTCAAGCACGCAGCTCTTTTATTAAATGATGCCAGGACCACCCATTGGTAATCGAGAACAATGTGTGCGGTGAAAGGTCATCACTAGGCCAACCATTGTTTAATTTAAACAATACTCATCTGGTTTTTTGGCAATATTTTTCTGGATGTGATGGGCAACACATGAAAATGCAGGAGATGTACGTGCGAAGCCATGCGTGAAGGAATGGGAAATCTCAGAAAGAGTTTGGTTTCTGACACAAAATTAATGGGAAGCCATGTCTTTGCCGTATTGCTTCTTGGATCCATTCTTGGCCTCCAACTTTGAACATGCCCAACTCTTTTCGTTAAGTGCATTGCATGGAGTCAGCACTAAACTGGGATAGATCCTACTTTCCTTAAATTATACGAAATTGCGTATACAATTTTTTCCAACTAATACATATGAAAAGGCCTCCAAACTTATAGACGGTGCCAGCGAAATAGGATCTCCGCATTGCTTAGAATTCTTGCATCATCAGTTTAATTACTCTGATTCCTGAATAAATTCTCCATTTTATCGAAACACAAATCATTAGGGAAAACAAGGGGGGATTTTCATGCAATTTCAAGTTAAAGGGAGATCATGTCAATTGTGAACATTTCATATGTAATTGAACGTCAAATATTCTAGAATTCACGTAACCACAGTATTAGATTGAAGCGAGATCATGTTACCGGGTTTATCGTCATCCGTTTTAGATTCAAATCTGTGATCTTCTTCCGATTCTAAATTCAAGACCAAGTGTTTATAACTCATTGTATATAAGCCAGAAAACAGAAACTATCAGAAAATAAATAGAAGTGGAAAGACATACGACTGCTAAAGCCTTCTGTTTGGGCATAACACATATAATGCACGTAAGAATGTGTTTCTCGATTTATATTTTGACTTTCTGGTAAAAAAAGCACTCCTATTTCTAGAGTTGATGGGTGATGAGGGAGATATTTATGATAGCAAAGTGACATCATATATTTTATTCGTCTTTCTAATGATATATAAGTATTAGAACTATATATCTCTCCCAAATGCTTATTATAATACTACCTCTGGTCCTTAATATAAGATCTCGTTTGATTTTTATTTCGGTCCTAAATATAAGATTTTAATCCACTTTGTCTCTCATATTTATTCTTTTTTTTTTTAAAGATAGCCCTTCTACTAATAATAGTTCTAACCAACAAATTTAATTAGTAAGGATATTTTAGGAAAGACAATACCTGTTTATTATAAATAATTAACTTAACTTATTTCTTTAATCTATTCAAATTAGTCAACTAGTTCTTATATTTAGGACCGGAAAGTGATATTTTAATTAAACTCCTAAATTTGAACAAGATCATGAATTCAAATATGATCTTTTATTCAGTTAAATCTAATTTAAATTCTCATTAATTTACGTAATGGTACAATTCGTGAGAATAATGACCGAACAATACATCCGATCTACAAACAGTTGATGGATCAATCCAACTTTTGTGCCATGGACATGATTGTGGCCCTCGCTTTACACAAAGGCCTCATGACGGACAACATGGGATTTTGAATGCCTACAGCGAATTGTGATACATCTTCTCTATATGATTTCATAATGTACAATATATACTACTTTATATATGAATTTTTAGTTTAAAGACAGACCTACAAATCACGACCTTAGAGTAAGAAGACGTAAAAAGTACATATATACCAAAATTTGCGGTAGACATTCCTTTTTCTTCGACTGTAAACACGCTGTTGACATTCAATGTCCTAAAACTTCACTTGAAATTATTAAAGTTGTTGCTTCCCATGTGTTTTATCTCAAAATCCTAAAACTTCTTGTAATGTGTGTCCGGAACATCTAGAGCACGTACGTAGTTGACGCCACATTATCCTGATCGGTGCTGTTTTGCTCACACACACTCACGCACTGCCACTCCAATTTTATTCACAAGTATACAGTGAGCCGTTACGTTCTGCCACTGCTACATCATCATTCATCAGTTTCATATTTATGGAATAATATATATTAGCACATCTAATTGATGCTGATACGAGTTTTACAACGCGCTTATCACAAAGAACTTCAGTATGTATTTCGAATTTTTTGTGTGAATTGGAATAACTAAGATTAAGTATATTTTGAAGATAGACATGAGAGAGAGCATTAAATTGCACGCAACTACCACCAACTCAAGGTTCTTCAGTCTCCATAACTCGTAGCTACTGACTTACTAGCTAGCTGATGGGATGCGTTCCTCACTTCTATATAAACACTTTGATTCACATCACTTGCCACTCACAAACCAAAGCATACCTGCGCCAATTTACCAACAAACCAAAAGAAAGCAATATTGGGTTGCAGCTTTGGTGGTTTCTTTTGAAAATGATGGGGAGGCTCTTCATGGTTGCAGCGTGCATGGCCATGGTGGTGCTGGTGGTGGCTCCACCCATGGCTGAGGCCATTACGTGTGGCCAAGTGCAAGGCAACCTGGCACCATGCCTCAGTTACCTCAAGAATGGCGGCCGTCCTCCGCAGGCGTGCTGCGACGGAATGAGGACCACCGTCAACTCTGCTCGAACCACCCCGGACCGCCGTGCGGTCTGTAACTGCCTCAAAGTAGCTGCGGGTAGGTTCCCGGGAGTCAATCCTCAGTTCGCTCAGGCTATGCCTTCTCTCTGCAGAGTTTTCATCCCCTACAAGATCAGCATGTCCACCAACTGCGCCAGGTTTCCCTTTCAGTTCCCTTCTAACTTCAATGATATGATATTTATACATACCAAATTAGACGCCTTCTGCATCCCCATTTAAAAATGGGAAGCAAATTATATAGCGAATTGAAAAGGTTCGTCAGTTAAAAAGTTAATCAAATATAATTAATTAACGCCTTATTATTGATTGGTTTGCAGCATTAGGTTCTAAAAACAGAGGAGGGGGAAGCAAGGTTGCTGAAGCGGCTATAATACTAGGGGGAAGCAGTGAATTAAGAATAAATAAATTGAGGAGATCAGAAGGAGACTCCACTTGGTGCTGTCAATGTATCTTAATTACCAGTTATAATCCGTTAAGTCGTGTGTCTTTTATTTATAAGTCTGCTCTCTTTCGTTGCATGTAGTCACCACTTTATGAATAATTTGATGATACTTTGGTTAGTTTTGCTCTGTGTAATATCTGGGTGTTTTTCAGCAAAAGTTAGAATCGGGTAAAAATGTTTAATTACATTCTATTATATTAGTCTTCTAATAAAAAATGACATAAAATATAATATTTTTTCAAAGGCTCAATCATATAATTCCTGGCTGAAGAATCTACAGTATATATTATATTTTGAACCCAAAGTCTAACTGAATTGACTCAGCCCAAGAGGTAAACCAAGATGACTATCGTTGAGGCCCGATGTTCTGAGACTAGAAATAATGGAACACAAATCCATTCCATGACCTCAAGGAAGCCCAGACTTGCTGTAAACAAAAAGCCCATTATCCTATTTAGTGGGTCGTGGATTAAGAATTAGGCTGCTGGGTTCCGATATCATCACTTCGGAATTTGAATTTATTTTGCGGTCTTTGTCTAATTCACCCATTTAGAATAAAATAAAATTATGTAGGACTTCAAAATTTATGCTCAACTTTTAGGGGTGGTACTTAAACATGTAAGTGGAAACGATGAAGTATAAGATATCCTTCATCCTTGAGTCTCTCTCTCTCTCTCTCTCTCACACACACACACAGATATGCGCGATACCTTGAATAAAATAATTAGATGGAGAGTAAAACAGTGAGTGATGTCAATCCTATATATATATATATATAAATATATATATGAAGTAATATGGGATGCTTTATAACTATTTATGCGATGGGTTGAATATTTTCGAAAAAAGAAAAACACAAAAACCACTTCAAACAACACGGCGCGTTTTCAAACATGTTGGCCTCTGGAGATCGTTTTCTTGTCCCACTTTAATACTCATCATGTTACGTTAATCTTGTATTTTCATTGCTTTGAATGAAACACAAACATTCTTCAAAATATTATTAAGTATATTGGATTTCAAAATTTTAGGCAAAGGCATTTTGCCGCTTTCATACTTGTCAACTGTTCACAAGTTCAAACCAGATGATGAGGTCATGCCCAAAAGGAGAGATATACGAGAGGAAAAGATGCTTAATTGGGAGATTACAAGAAGAGTAATAAGTGATAATACCCATGGTCTTTGGTATAAAAGCTAGTGATTAAGAAATCAGTTAAGTTAATTATTTGTAACAAATAGATAGTGGCTTCTTTAAAATACTCTTGCTTACTAATCATATACATTAGCTAGGAATAAAACTACCATTTGATAAAATCTTTAACATATACAACTATTACAATGACTACTTTAAAAATAAATAAATAAATATCAGAGACAAAAAAAGATTAAGGTCTTATATCTAAAATCAAATTAAAAGCTAAACAAATTCTTATATGAAAGATCGAATGTAGTAATAACAATTAAGAACATTGACTCACTCGTAAATGGTCGGATCTCAGTTAAGAATAACAGAACCTTAGTTGAAAACAAATCATGATGAGAGAGTTCAGTTGAAAATTGATTTTTAAATGTCAATATTCTTTTTTAAATATCACAAAATGTTTTTTTCTTGACAGGCAAAGAATAGCGGGACCCATCTTTTCCACTTCATCCAAAGTACGATTCTGCTTCAGGCAATTTAAGTTCATTCAACTATATATCTAGTTAACTTAATTATTTAACTTATTTAAGGTGCTAATGAGCAAGTGGCAAAACTTTAGGGAAAAAATAGTAATCGGTACTTTAAAGAAGTGGACACTGGACAGAGTTTTTATAGCTGACTATGCTGCATATACTCTGATCACACTACCTCCTGTCTTTAATCCTTAGTATGTAAGAGTTAGTTGACTAATTTGAATATATTAAAAAAATTAGTTTAAATTAGTTATTTATAATAAATATGTATTATCTTTCATAAATATCCTTGCTAATCAAATATATTAGCTAGAACTACTATTAGTATAAAAACTATCTTTAAAAGAATAAATATAAGAGATAAAATAGATTAAGTTATTATATTTAGAATAAAAATAAAAATAAAACAAATTCTTATATTGAGTAGCGAAAAGACTTGGTATCAGACCTTGCATGTTCTTTTTCCGGACCTTCTTTTAAAGTCTTATGGTAAGATAAGCCTTGCGTGTGATTGTTAGTTCTTTTGTAAGTCAATGCTTTTCGGTAATTAAGTGCTAAAGCACAGTTTGCAGAAGAAGACGAAAATCGGAGAAGCAGTCAGTCTTTTCGGTAAGTCAGAGGTTGCATTACTTGTGTCGATGAGCTTGTGTTCAAATTTGAGTCTTGATTGGCTCATTTAAGGTGGCTTTCCTCATATGATAGTTCCCCCCCCCCCCCCCATTTACGAGATTCAAGCAATCAACTTAACCCAATTGGAACCACGACTCTCTTTCCCTTACCAATGTAACCACCTTGGGAACTTGATTATTTAAATTTTCATTAATTTGAATTAAATTCCATCAAGTATTCAACTCAGATATTACCTATACGTCGAGGAATCCTAGCTCATATATTTTAATTTTTTTAATTTTTTTAAAGCTTCTCTCCTTTTAATATTTCATGCCCTTCGAACGCCGAAAAGCGTACGAACCAACTTGCACGATTCCTGTCCACCCATTCTCTGACACCCAACTTCGAAGAGGTAATTTAGGTTTGGCCTTTCACTTTGGAATTTGGATATATGTGAATTTTACACTTGAAAAAAAAATAGAAGAAGACAAAAAAAAAAAAAAAAAAGGAGGTACTTCATCTCTTGCTCCTATCAGGTACATCAGTCCATGGCACTGTTGATTGCTTGCAGCACCGTTTGCTTCACCGTTTGGGCGTCTATCTCCTTCTCTTCACTCTGCAATATCACCAATTAAGTTTCGTCCCATAAACCTCATAAACAGAAACTAACAAACAAAACATACAGATTTATTGATCCAAGAGTTGAGGAAAAAGGATATATATAAGTGAATAGAGATTGAGGAATAAGCAGAGAAGGGTAATAGATCAGATATATATATGCAGATGAATGAATTGGTGCCATACTTGAGATCCTACCACAGCTTCGAACTGGAAAGTGTCTTCACAAGAAGCCCTAGCATCAAGCACATCAAGGCCGAGCTGTTCGAAGGCCTCGAGAACGGAGACGAGCATGGCGGGGCAATTCTTTTCGGAGAACACGTTAACTCGGAATCCCTTGTCTAGGGTTTCCACCCTCACCTGCAAACGCAACGGTATAATATTCATGATGGATCAATGAAGGCACAGAACACAGACACAATAACAGCAAGCTAAGCATGTATATAGTACCGTGGGCAAGTCATCGGGGAAAGAAGAGGAGGATTCCGCCTCCTCCTGTTGATGATTCAGATCCTGTGTGTGATTTGATGAGGCTTTGTTTTGAGCATGTTTTTTCTTTCTTTCTCGTGTTGAAGACATGTACGCTATGCTGCTAGCTTCAATTCTTCTTCTTCTTCTTCTTCCGCCTTTGGTTATTATTGCTGCTAGCTTCCTTCCTCCTCCTTCTAATTCCATGAGAATTGGGGCCTTTATTCTTTTTTTATATATAGAAACTATGAGTGATGAGGCCTTCAATGAAATATTTGATTCTCTTGTTTGTTTCCTGATCACCTCTACTGTTTCATCTCCCCCACATCGAATTATGCTCTTCCCCTTCACAATTACCTCTTTGACCCCTATCCCCACTTCTCAACCCTTAGCTTTCATTTTTCTCTGCGAATCAAAATTTCCTTTCCTCCCTCCCTCCCTCTCCCTCTCTCTCACCCACAAATGTATGGAATATTTTTAACGTGCTTTGAAATTATTGGACATCAAGTCAAGAGTTTTAATTTTAAAACATCATCTTGATCCAAAATACTTAACAAAATAACAGTAACAACAACTTGAACAAAACGAATTCTCCAGGTTATAAGGGAAATAATAAGCGTCTTCTATATTTTTATTATTCAATTTCATTTGAATAATAAAAGCCACCAGATAACAATAACAATGATAATAAAATAAATGAATGAAAATTGAACGAGGCATTAAAAAGTTGAATTGGAACGAAATTAGTAGGAACGAAATAAATAAACTTACACTAATAATTTACTGGAAGCTAGTGTGCCTAGTTTTAGTCCAGAGTCCAGAGACCAGTGAGCTAGTCATCCGGCTTTCACGAGAGTGCATAAATGTCTGGGATTTTATTCCATCCTTGGGAGTCTTACCTGGTACATATGACACATGGCACTAATTAATCATCTCATTTCCTTTCATTGACTCATCGTCACATCCCAACCCCACCCCAAAACTAAAAATGGAATAATAGATAGAAACATCACGTATATTTCAACTCAACTACTTGAGGGATTGTATCTGCATAAAATTTAAAAAGAAACAAGTCCTTATAATAATATAATATGTAATATAACTTATTAAAAATGTTTTTAATTTAGATGTATATTTAAGGTGGCCAATATGCATGTTACATTGAATAAAAAAAATTGTTTAGGTGTAGATGATCATAGTCCCGTAGGCTTATAATACATGTAACAAAGAATGAATAAATAATTCTTGTAACATGTCACATCCATGATACAACAGGTAACTAATCATGAATGTGTAAGATATGTAGATGCTAAAATTAATAATCCACCTAACTTATTAGGCGCTCATGGCAAAAGGTTTATTAACTAATAATATT